ATCAAATACTGAGCTTTTTTCCACGCATAAGTAACAAAACAGGGGTGTAGCAACCGCCGTATCCATCGTATCAATGGTTAGATGTTTCCAGCTTACAGGGGCCTCGACGTGGGAAAGAAAAGAATGCGTAGTGTTATTCACAGTTTTAAGTAAGTTTGGAGACCGTGCGCCGATCTACAAATTCTCAAGCGATAAATCCTTAGCTAGGCTAGATGTTAATAACATTCTTCCTATTGCTTACGCTCTATACATTATAAGTGCAACAGCTGTAAGAAGCTTTTCGAAATTAAGTAATGTGCAGGCATGCCCAGGATTATCCTTTGTTTTTCATTTAAGTTTTCGCAAAACTAGTTGTCTTTCTTTGTATTTACTCATGGTCTTGAAGTAGGTAGCTATAGCTGGCCTCCGTGGCGACATTAGTTGATGCCTTGTCGATACGCCGACTTCTGTTCTGTTCTCTTGTTGGTGACTTTTAGTTGTATTTCCATTTCCAACTTTGTTTTTCTTCAGATTACACCCGTATCCAAATGTGAGGGACATTTATTTTATCTTCGGCATCTTCGATGCACATCCATTCGGATCTAAAGAATACAATAAGCAGAAACGTACGTAGCTTGGGTTACCAATCCTTCTAGTTCTGCTCCTATTCCTACATTGTGGACATGTTCACGATTGTACTTTGTCTTTCATTTAAAGTAATTAACTCAACTATGACTATTAGACTGTCTTCAGAAGTTGACAATCACTAAACCTTGAAAAAGTCTTGCTATGGTTGATTAAACGAAACAGTTTGCGGAAAAAGATAGTGGTAGGTATCGACTCGATACTTCCCACGGACTCACATGAAACTTTGCTAAATTATCAACCTTTTTGAGCTACATAATACTGTAATTGACTACGCATCTAGCTTGCGGTAATCAAAAACAATAGAAGCCAATTATTGTTTGAAATTTCATACAATTAGAACCCTCCTAAAATTATTTTTGATTCGCCAACAAAAACGTTTACCGTGCTATCAAGTTTTTGCCGCTTTTGTGCGTCAAAGAAAATACGTTAGCATGCCAAGGAGAGTACCATCATTTATAATAAGTATTATTTATTAGTTGTAGCAGTTAATTGACATAGCAAGGTGGTTATTATCTGTGAATCTTTATTTTCTTATTGATCACATGGTTTTTAAGTGCATACTGAAGACTATATTCCGTATTTCACGGTTTCTTGTAAATGATGGTAATAATTATAATAAATAATATGCAGAAATGTGCTGCACGTTTAGTCGAGTAACATCCTAAAAAACGAACTTGTGAAAAGTAGCAATTTTCACGCTATGTTAAGAGCCTGAATAGGGAATTACTTTAGCGTCGTAGAAACCTATTGGCTCTTTGAAGATTAGATTTCAAAAAGACAAAAAGGTTATATGGTGTATACATTTTTAGTGGTGGAAGTAGCGGCTACAGGTGTTCAAATATGCAAAAAAAATTGTTACATAGGAATACTCCAGCGTGTCAGAAATTGATATTGAATATGCCCCATGATTATTGCCGGTTTGTTCCAGTGGGCTATTAATAAAGGACGCCGACTGTATCTTGCCGTTATTTCTTTTTTTTTTTGTTCTGTTATTGGCACTGGTCGATGACCAACTGGCCAGCTCCTTATGTATAATGCTATGCCTGGCGGATCAAAGCAAGACTATTAGTATCCCTTTATATATCTCCATCTCCCTCATACATACACCATACCTACCCCTGTTTGAGAACGTTTGTTCGATAAGCTCAAAGACATACGTTTTTAGGTGTGTTTCAGTCTCAAAAACTTTTTCAGAGTGACAACTTACTTGACATCGGCGTGCAACTTGAGTTTTCCAGTTATCAATCTTCAATATAACATTGTACAATGCCCGGAAATACGATCAATGGAGAAGACTGACAGCTCGTGCTAAATTTATTAGAGTATTTCCAGGAACAGAATGAAAACAGCGGTCCCCTGTTACCCACTTCATGCGTACTGGAGAGAGTAGCAGATGCGCTGAAGATTAGTCTGCGCGTGGTACGGAGACTCGATCTGTTTACTTATCTCATATGGCGTTGATGGCATAACTGCCAAGAACGGTGTTTTACAACTAAATTCGTGTTTTGCAACTCTTTTTGTTCACAATATTTTTTTTGTAAGTTTAAGGAGGGGGAATGGCTCAACTTCATTTCAGAAAAGGGTAATTTTTGATTGGCATTACAGATTTTCATTCAGAGGGGCCCCTAACGGCTGTTAAGTTTCGTTAACTTAGTTCTTTTTTCACCCGTTAGGTAGCGCTCAATGACAAAACTGTCGATAATCTGGATTCAACAAATTAATAAAATCAAAATATCTGTGTTTTCTCAAAGTCAATGAGAATTTTTCAAGAGGGGAAAGGGGAATACAGGCTCTACTGCAGCTGGGCGCACTAAACTTTGAGTTTTTATGTTTCAGCATGTGATTTACACACTGTCTTAGTCTGAGGCGCTCTAGTATTTCTAACGATAGTTTCTTTTTGTTATTCTGGTCGGCTGCCCTAAACGTACCCCTCGCCCCTCTGTATAAAAGGATGAAAGGTATCCCCACTTATGTTAATCTACTGCCCTCGAGTACATTACAGAATCGCATATTACTACATTTGGTGACAGACCGACCTAATGTGGCGCAGCAGAGAAAGGGCAAATACAGAAAAAAATGAAAATCGCTTAAACTTCATTCTTTGACGTTTCAGAGAATCCTGATCATTTCTGAAAAAAAAATCGGAGGAAAAAAATTGGTGGGTGAAGGCGAGTTTAACTCAATTTTTATGTGGTAGTACATTTTACACTCCCAACCTCGGCTACCTGTTAGTCATATTTCACACATTATAAATTCTCCCTGACATTCTCTCTTAAAACTTAGACTGATAGAGACATGCTTTCAATACGCGGCGTACCGGTTTCGGAAAGCGTGCTAACATTACTGCCACTGTGCCGCGCTGCGACGTCTGACGCGTCGTGGACCCCTTTGACTGACTTGATCCGCATAATTTTCTGCTATACAAGTTCGTAATTAACTTTTTTTCAGAGTGCCTAACTTGTGCTAAACATAATCCTTTATGAACTGATGAGGGCGTTTCGTGGGAATTTTTTGGTTCGAAATCTTTAATTCTGTTTTCAACTTACTTGAAAAATATTGTTTCTAGGTTTCAAATTTTCTTATCAGATTAAGTATGAAGTACGTTTATAACATGCATGCCTACGTTTTATCTCTTTTGTTGACACTTTCAGTCCAAATTTGATTACATAAATATCAAAATAAGTTTCTTAGAAATGGAGTTAAAAAACAACTTAAGACTAATATCCAGAAAGTCGAACACAATACATACAAATATTTTTAAGAAGCAATCCAGTTATACCGAAACGCAAGAACCAAAGCTGCATACGTTTTGATATTGTTAGCTGATATTGATTCCGTCTACTTGATCGGATCTTCTGTTGTATTAGCATCTGCCAACTTGATTCAGTTAATCACTATAGCTGTATGCAAGTGATTTTTCTTTTGCGCCAACACATTATTGTGCTCTAGCTGAACTCGGATCACGTCTGTAATGTGTATAATAAAGACTTTCTGATTACTATCTGTATATGGAATAATTCGAGCAGCTCATAGAGAACTAATTTCTCCACAGAGAGCAGACCAAAATGACTGCTCACTTGAAATGCTACTGGGGTAATCAAAATCCAAGGTAGCGTTACTAATGCTAAATACAGCTCGCCTTTATACTCCACTTATCACAAAATGAGCGTGTTGCATGTTTAAGTTGTTCATTTACATGTGGCTGATTAATGGTCTTATATTTGTGCAAGAACGCACCTAAAGAGATGTGAAATTTTTTAATAACAATTTGTCTACATTATCCTACCAATTATACTGAGGTGAAAATTGCTTACTGCATTGGAGACATTAGTAAGGAGCGAAATGAGGCATGATATATTAGTTGTAAGCATGCTTCTGACTATGCCTGCCGCAAACGAGTTACCGATAATGTTTCATGGCTTTTAGAATCACTATACAGGGTGTTTCACAACTTATCCGACAAATTTTAACCACATATGCACTGTTACGAAAGAAGTTGGTTAAAAAAAAATGTAATTAAAGTCCTACAGAAATTAAGTTATAAACCTGAGTTTCAATAATAAATTGGAAAATAAATGTAATAATTTATTGTAGCAAATGTTGTACCAAACAACTGACGAAAACAAAATACGAGGAATTCATACTGATAGGAACGTGTAAATAAGGTTTAATCTGTATCGTGGGTGATCTGAATGAAGAACGGTCGATTTTTGAAGTGTTAAATAAGAAAGTATTTTGCGAGTTCGTGGAACAAATGCATGCGCTCCACGGTCTCCCGACCTAAGTCCTCTGGACTTCTTTCTATGAGGATACTTGAAAAACGAGGTATACCGTACATCAGATAAGTTGTGAAATACTCTGTATGGTAATAAAAAGTTCGGCAAAGTCCGATCTTGATTGGGGCAGAGAATCAGTTATGGTATTGTGAGACTTTTATTAATAGCAATAATATTAGTTTTCTATACCCGGCAAGTGCAGCATCAGCTGCTTATTTGCTATGCCTGGAGATTCACTAATTATCATGGAAACTGTTAAACTTGTTTAGCCTGAGCAACCAGTGCACCAGTTTCATCCTATTCGGATTAGTAGTATATCCCCGAGTTACTCCGAAATATGCATATTGAAAATTTCAAGATGTTGACGAAAACTATCGGTATAACTTTTATGGTTACACGTCGGTACTTATATCGAACAGCTTGTACTGGGATCACGTCTCACGGCCAAACATATTCTAGCTCAAGTAAGGTCGAATGGATGAACTCCATACCGTCAAAGAGATGCTACAGAAATGATACAGGATTCTATTATACCCTATTCCTAGTCTATTTACGCCCCGGCACAACAAAGATGCAGTGCGGCAAAGCGGCAGCCGCCCAATGAACTGTCAACACTGATGGAACAGGCGTAACGCGAATTCATTGCGGCTAGAATGAGAAACGAGGAGGATAGCGCTAGTCAGGGCAAAACATTGGCAAAACGTCGTGGTCCATTGTGGTATTTCCATATATGTTCTAGGGATTTTTAGTGAATGTTTGTTTTTAGTGACGTTAAAGATTAATAGTGATAGTTTGCGACAATTATTATAAACATTTTTATGCCGGACAGCCTTCAACAGATGTTGTTTTATGTTATATTTGTTTAAAAATGGTTGAATCTTGCAGTGCGGTGAATTGTTGCAATAGACGCAGAAAAGATGTGAAAATGAAGTTTCATAGGTTGGTTTTAATCATCTCATTCATTTTTGTGTGAGAATTACCTGTTAATTGGTAATTCGAGGAAATATCTGGTTTTTTAGGATACCTAGAGATCCTAACATGAGGAAGTTGTGGTTACATGCTATAAGAAGAGAAAACTTTACTCCCAGTACAACAACGGTAATTTGTGAAAAGCATTTCACTCCAGAGGAATATGAAGTTAGTGTTCATGGAAATAAGGTACTAAAGAAGGTGGCTGTTCCATCTGTGTTTGATTTTCCAGCCCATCTCAAGAAAGAACCTAAACTACCTATTTGGCAAAGTAAACATTCCCACCACAGATATTTTACTTAGGATGTAGTCAAATGCTGACACGGGCATTCGAGTATATTCAAAAAATTTGGTAGGGTATAATCTCAGTTCTTCATACAAATGAAAAAATTCACCAGTTGTTCCTCTATTTTTATTTATTTCCTGCACACCATCTCAAATGTTCAACACCTCCCATCTCAGGATCGGACTGTCGAGCAAAAATACCAAATCGTCGTCTATAGTTTGGGACTTCTGATAATACGTCGAACCAGCAGAAGAGCTCGCGTGTCACTGTCACCGCGCATTCAGTATGGATGCACACCTAGGCTTCCGCCTCTAGTCACTACACTATGGATGCAAAGGCGCGTTTCATAATGTTTGATACTTCGCGCCCATCAGGGCAACCGCGCTAAGCTCGCAATATGGACGCACTCTAATATAGCCTACGAAAAGCATTTGTTAGCCCAGCAGGCTAGGTAAAAGACGCTTTAAAATAAATTTAGCTTTGATGATTACCCTTCGGGAAGGTATGACCCTCAATTTAGTGGCCTCAAAGGTTTTCAAGCATTATAAATGCCCACTTATAGGCTTATAGGCTATTTTAGACATTATTCACTTGAAAACAGTGAAGGGTAACTAAGAATTTTTCTTGTTTCAGAATGATCCAAAAACCTAAAAAAGCTCTGTTCAACCTTTGAGATTTGTTCAAAATCGGTACTAAATGATGTGTCTCGTAACTTTAGTAGTAAATTCAGGGAAAATATGGGTAATTTGTTTTTCAGATACCATTACTTATTCCAAACTTATAAATTAGTGACCCCCACGACATTCAATGATAATTTTTAAATAAATCACGTCTGCCGGATGCCCCTTAACATGGATCAAGAAGTTGCAGGGCGGTAACTAGAAGCAAATTTGTTTGAACAATGTTTTTAAACCAATTACAAATAATATCGTTTCACTCTGGGTAACGTTATAGGGGTATTCCGAACAAAAAAGATACTTGTTAACCTTTGGCCGTTTTCAAGTTATGGGCGATTCAGTGTCTGGTAAAGACTTAAAATAGGAATATTCAAATCTTGAAAACTCGGTTTAAATTTCATTTTTGAGTTTGCCAAATATCTAGATTAAAGTTCAAACATTGCCTTGCTATATGGTGAAGGGTATTCTAGTTTATTTTAATGCTGTTTTTGACCATGCCCGGTATACTAACAAATGCAGAACTTATGATTTTTACAGACTGTTTATATACTTCACATTTGCCTTAACAAGATTCCACCTTCTGTTCTGCGAAATCAAGTATGCGGCAGTTCTTTACAATTTCTGATGATACTATGGATGCCAATATTCACCTCTGTGATGATCGGAGAAAAACTTTTGACAATACTTTGAGAGCTGTAAAAGTAGTTTTAATAATATACACCTCTGTGATGAACGGAGAAGAACTTTTGACAATATTTTGAAAACTGTATCAGTAGTTTTCACTGGATTTGCATATTAAATTCTTCATCGAAGTATACCACATATACAAGGCAAGTGACTAACCGAAATGTCATTCTCTGGATGAGTGTATTTGACAGTCAGTGATATTCAGAGACTCCTTGTTGAAATGAACCGCAAACTCCACTATATTCGAGCACCTCTCAAGTAGATTCACACATATGTTCTGCTCGATCTAATATACGGAAGTTTCTATGAAGGGTAGCTCTAAACAACGACCACATCTCTTCCTACAACTCCAAAATCTCCACTGGACTTGAAAGGTTATAAAATTTAGAGACACTCCATCCTGAATTTCGTAGCTTTCACGGCTCTGCAGATATGCACAACAAAGTGAGAAAACAGCGCGCTTCTAAAACCCACTAATCGTAATAATGATTTGCAACTATCTAAGAAAACAATACAATATAATTAGTTATTCCTGTTAGTCATTCTAAAATTGGAGAGATAGCAACAACAAAAGAGAAACTACTGCAGCCAGTCTTCTTGAGATGGACAAACATATTTCAGTCAATCTGCTTCAAACCAAAAACCACTAAAGTCATAAAAATGTTAACAAAAATTACATTTTCAACAGGTAAAATATTTGAGATTTCACAAACTAGAAATATAAACGTCATGATGCCAGGCGATTTTCGCACTACTTTGGCGTCATTCCAAGCGAATAAAACAACGGATACAGTTAATTTGCAAAGATTATATGTAGTGTTAGTGAGGAAAGCATACTTAGAAAACATGCGACGGTCATCATAATACTTTAATAAGTCATATATTGGAATAAGTGTCTCAATAGTTCTTAAGCTTTTCCCTTATCAGGTAATTTATTATTACTTATAGTTTTTAGGTTCCTGGTAGATATTGTAATCACAGTATCCAACATAAAACACCTCTGTATTTAATCAGAATTTGTAATTTTTTACATGATATTACTGATTAGTTTATAACTGATAAAGATATAAAAGACCCATCAGAAACCTTATGGGGACTGGCTTTCGGCTGATTTTCAAAAAATTAGTATGTTGATGTATTCCACTTGTTTACATGCTGTTTTCTTTTTCAAAAGGTAAAAGCTATTCCTCGTAAAGTTTCTGCGGGGTCTCTTTCAGTATAAATACAATACTTTCATGCGACATACCGCATAGTTAGATTTTCATGAACACCAAGGCAATTCCAATAAATACTGGGAGAGTGACATATTGAGTTGGGTTCCCTGCAGCCTCGTTTCTGATAAGAAATTAAAAATTTTGTTTGTGATAATCCCTTGCTCCATACGTATTTCAAAGCATTGTGAGTGCATTACACGGTTATGGAAAAGCTTGTACCAAATACGATCAAGAGACGGTTTCAAATTATGAGTATAAGCTACAATATGTTAACGATGAGAACATTTCGGAGAATATGGAAAGGTTTTCTTATTTCCCCGCAGATGTAAAATAGTCTGAATGAATATAAAAAGGGCGTATCCGAGATTTGCCGATATTGCGAACAAAGGTATATGTATGTATCGTTAATACTTTATTGAAATTCCACTACCTTTACGAAATAAATATAAATTAGCATACATAATTACTCTGATCCTTATCTGACAGTCGAATTATTTGTCTTCCTGGCATTTTTTGTATACGTTAAACTACAACATGCAAAGTATTTTTAAGATCCTATCATCGAGGTAATTTTTTTATGTATAAGATTGAATTGCATATATACGAAAAACAAGTTTATGAACGCCTGCAATTAATATCACGTTAATATTAAGCAATACATTAAAGGGTATCCGCATGCAGAAAAAATAGTTATTACCTACAATTTCATTTTGCTTATATACTTGAAATACCCAATACTACAACATCAGAAAGTATCAAGCACAGATTTTAAAATTACTTTTATTGTATGGGTATAGAGCGACAGTCAATAATAAGATCGAATGTTGCTGTGAAAACACAGTCAAGACACTGACATCACACTTACCGTCATGTGAATCATTGGTGGCTGACACTGAACTATTCCAATGATGTCTTGTCAGTTATCAGGACTGATACCACATACATATTTTCACCTTGTTATTTAGTATTGCCAGTTATGAGTTCTGTCTTAAATTGTATTAGGTTTTTATGAGGTAGGAATGCATTGGAATAAATAAAACACCCCTTGAGTTTCTTAGGCTAGCCTTCATTGTATTCATTTTTATGTATATCATAGTTTGGCACAATTACGAAATAATAACGCGTTAATGCTCTGTATCAGCGACTATTCACATCAAATGGTCACCGACATTAAATGCCTCAACTGCTGCAGCTACCGAAATATCTGTAATGGCGTAACAACGAGTAAAGTCGAAGAGGATATCTTTGCTTTATATCTGTGTGGCCATTACCACACAATGTTGCTGCATACTCAAGAGCAATCATCAGTACGGTATAGGTCTAGTAGTCCTGTAGACAGACTTTCTGTCAACCTGATATTCATTCCCATCCTATAAGATAATGATGACAGAACACCCCTATGCCTCCAGCTCATAACTGCTTGACGTTTCTCATTTAGCATTCGGAATACTTTAAGAGTATTCACAGAGCATAAAAACAATGGCTTTCTATGAGCTCTCCAAAGCAGTGTAAACTATCTGGTGTTGTCATGTGCCAGTACAATGAAATTATTTTCCAGCCTGTCGAACGAGTTTTAATGAAAGTTCGCTTAAGAGTCCAGTTATAATGATCTTTCATTTGGTTCGTTGCCCAAACCAACAAATAAAAGCATCTGAAAGCGCCTGTTCCTTGTACGCTGATACTGCTCTAATACAATTTCAACATTTTGTTTTATGGGAAAATGCGATTTTAAACTCATTTTTCTGACAATACAGATTTCAGCATTGTACGAGTCAGATTGATTATATCAACCGCACTTTCTCGGTCCACTCGTTCAAGGCGCATTTGTGATGCAAGGTATAAAAGGGTATAGAAAAGAAAAGCCAATGGATCTTTTTTAGTAATTTTTAAAACCAAATGATAGAGACGTTACTGATAAACAGAATAAATCACTCAGTGTCCGAATTACGGTGTGCGTAAGTGTGATGATTTTTATAAGACAATAAAGGATATTGTATCACTTAAGTTGAAGACGTGTTAGTTGAATAATGTTCAGCAAAAAAGAAGTCAAAGGCAAATGGAGAAAGGAGGAGTGTGAAAACGTAAGGCGGTATTATAATGATAGGCGCCGAAGCTCCAGGCGAAAGTAGTAAAGCGTAATGTTGGTCCTACTGTCTTATAGCTATATATCCCAATGTAAAGGAAAATACAGTTGCACACTTGTATCTATAACATGAACGGATGAAATGGCTTGAAGTATGGGGAAAGTCAAGTCAGCATTAGCTCTAAGGGGTACAGTTTTTCCGTCTGAACATGACTGTTCGTTAAGTTAGCAGATCCGTGTATGTTAAAGTATCAGACTGTCAGGTAAGGTCACATAATAGGATATCATTAGTATTGTCAGTACAGTTAGTTAACTTAAAGTAATCAGTCGATATCGTCTTTTCTTGTAGCAGTGGGTATATACAAGCAGCAGTCCACGGAACATCTTAACGAAAATATAGCTCCAACCCTAAAGCCAAGAAGAGAGTAAAGTGTTAGTCATGAAAAGTTAGAAGAGTTAATGTTAGAGGTTGAGTCTATTAACCAATTCCGTATTTGCCAACTGTTAGAAACATATACATATATAAATAAGAAAGGGGTAGTGGTAGGCTGAGTGATAATCCTGTGGCTACTGAGTTGCGCATTGCTCACTGTTTTAAAAATTTTCAACACTCGTTTTGATCAACAAAAATTTGTTATGGATAATAAGTATTATGAGCAAAGGCTTTATTCAATATCAGATATATTACATTAGAACAGACCAATTGCAATTGGAAAATAACTAGAAATACCAAAGTCCATATACTTATCAAGAGCGTCTCTATAAGCCAATGTTAAATAATATATTTTAATTGCCCTTAGTCCGCGGTAGAGCGGTAGTTGATTAGGTGATATGTAAGCAATTCAAAAAATAATTACGTACATAGTTCCTTCTGTCACCGTTAAAAACTCGCGCGTTAAGAATAAAAACATTAGTAGTTTTATGTGATCAAAACAATATTTCACTTCCTAAACTTGTTGGAGTTGTTCACAAATAGGGTTTGTCAAAATTTTCTGGAACCAACGAACGCAATATGTATAACGTATAATTTTCGTAGGACACCATGGATGTTTTACCACAGTTTACTTATACTTCCAGTAGATTATGAGAAATGAGCCTTGAAATCTTCGTCAAGTCGAGACGTATACCACATATTAAAATATTCCTTTCGGGAAAAACATTAACGGTTTGTTGACTTGATAGCTTTCAACAATAGTTGTTTTGTCTCGAGCACATAAAAGGATGGGTGGAAATATTTTCACAATTCGGTTGTCTCCCTCGATTGATATGTTAGAGACGATAAAGCTTTCCTATCCATAGATAATTTTAATATGTCACTTACCTTTCTGTACTCGGCACAAAAGCGTGACACCATCTCCGCTAGCTGTTGCGCCCTGGGTGTGTGTAGTGTTAACCTTCCTTGTGCACCATCCAAAATGATGCTAGTTGGTCTGGGAGCTGCACATGAGTTAATCTCTCCAAGGCCAAAGGATCTAAGGATGTGCAGTTGATTCTGTTCTTTTTTCACAAAATGGACACCCCAATGAGAGACTGCTAGAATTTGTACATCAGACAGCTGGAAAAAAAAGAGATATCTGACATTTTTCGTACTGTAAAGGGTCCTATTGAGATTATTGGACAGTTTTTATGTTCGTTCATTTCATTATATTCTCGTGTTAAAGCTCGTAGCTTCTTTCCGAATAGAACGATACGGTGCTTCTCAAAAAGGACTTACTTACCCTTGCCGCTATAAATCGTGTAATTTTGAACTCCAGGAAATATTATGACTCCATGTGGATCAAGGTATGATTTGAGATTTGGTAGTATTAATAGCATGATTAAGACCTACAGAGATTTTTTTGAGTCAATGTAGGTACAGAAATGCCATAAAAATTTATATTCTGACCCCAAGAAAAGAATAACGAAAAAAACTTTCTACGTCAATGACACTGTTAAAATGCTTATTATTCAAATATTTTAGATATTTTAAATAAGGAATTTGATTTTACATAAGCTACATCCTTTGACAATTTCTTGTCACACCGTTCCTTTTGAAAAGCACGGTTTTGAGTATTTTATGGAAAATCCGTAAAAAAGCTGAAGCCATTCTGATTTTAAAATACACTCAAGTTAATGGAGTATGACCTTGAAAGTTGAATGAAGTATATCAGAGGAAGCACCCCATCTCACCGTGTCATTACGTAGATAATCTTCATGTTTTGTCCCTTATTCAGTTTCAGCGAGGTTGTAGTAGTCTATAAAATTCTGCATATTAGTAACAGGATATTACCGAACCCACGCCTCTGGGAGATTAATTACATTAATTCTGTGTAGTTTGTTCTCTAGTAATTGCGCCAGTGTTTCTGAGTCACTCTGTATAAATTTCGTCTACATATTACCGCAACATTTTCACAACACCATAGCGAAGTCACCAATTTTGCGACCATTCTCTACATTCCCATTTGCGGTTATCTTATTATTTATAACACATCTAAAACCGATTTTATTACCGTAGAATTTAAATATGCCTGACGCTTCATACCTAGAGGTCGCGTTATTTAATTCCAAATAACTACTGGTTCCGTTCAGGGACCCAATGTTTGAAAATCAGGGACTGCAATGACCAGTAAAAAGTGCTCTATTACTGATCTGACAGCTTTTTCGGCTAAATATAGGTTTTCCATATTTTAAATGTTAAAGTTGACTTCGTTTTTAATGACGGAGAGTGGTGGACGATGGTGAGATTTCTGCACGTTTCTCCTTAGAATGACTCGCGAAACGTTCAGGAATAGTAAAAGCAAGTACCAATTTCTTTCGGTAATTTTACTTCTTGATTTTTAAGAAAACGGTTCAGGTTAAAATTTGTCATAACCATATGAATGGCAGTAGTTCATTAAGATAGCTAATGAGGTTTAACCACTGATTATGAATAAGCATGTATGCCGTGACACCAAATATACTGACAAGACGAAAACCCAGTGATAATGAGTTTATTACAACACTTTTTTGTATACAAGTTCCTTAGAGTTAGGTAAGTAATTAATCAAAATTTTAGGAAAAACGACCGTTGAAAATAATGTAAAAAATTAATAATTTATTGGGTCTCCAAGGCGTCTTATCCACTCAGAGACCCAGACCTGTTCAACGGTTGAGAGATGGGGAGATCAATGGACCAAGGCAAAAAATCGACTAGATTATCTTCAAAACTACTTTATCGATATGGTTGGTAAGCTGGTCGTTTTGTGACCTAAACAAACATATATACCTAGAAAATCTTTATAATGAATTTCTAGTGGGTGTTCCTTTGTCACTTAGAATTCCTGTCATATTTTGGCTCAACATTGCCAGCTCTCATACTGTTGCCACAGGCTATCGGATTCTCTTGTGGGCCATTAAGAAGTTTTCAGAATACGAAATTTTAGGAATAATTACGAGTTAGAGGGAGGATCTTTCCTTGGAACATTGATTTCGTGCTTAAGGATAATCGTAGTTCAAGAAATTACTCCTAAGGGAATTCATGCTATTCTACGTGGCAACATGACTGGAGCAACGGAAATTCTTTGTTAACGTCCAAATGCAGCATGCAATTAATCATCTTTTAAGAGAATAGGTTCAACAGTGGTTAAACAGTTTATATTCACCCACCTGTGCTGCCCCGGATACCGTGAACATCCTAGCAAAGTACAGCGGCCAACTTCTAGCCAGCTCTACAACATTCCTCTTCACATTAGCCCTATGTGACGAGCTGTTGTAGTTCTCCGCTGTTACCCCGTACCCAGACAGCATGTTCACCCCAGCTCTCTTCTCAGCTTGGTTCAGCCTTATACAGGGTGTTAGTCCATACACATCTCCCACAATCTGACAGAAGACCAAATGGAGCGCTGTTGGCGGTCCTAGGGGCTCTGATGGTGAAAACACCTCTTTCCGAACTCGTAGTAGCCATGACACGCGGTTGTAAGTCACACAGGCTGATGTACCTAGAGGTAGTAGTCTGGAAGCGGTATTAGGGGACTCCATTTTCTCCTGTTGTGGTTGTGGTGTTGGTATCGGTGACTTCGATGGCGGCGTTTTGATGGGGCGCATGAATTCGGGCCATTCTTGCACTGAAAGGAAGATATATGATTGAAATACTTTATCACGCTCTTTTTCCAAGCTCTTGGTTTTGTGAAGGATAATACGAACCGAGCGACTGTCAGATTTCACCACATAATAAAAAGATTACCGACATGTGCAGGTGGCACATTCACCCTAATTGAAAGTTACGGTTTTAATGTGTTAATTTGCAAACTACCTAATTGTCTGGTCATTTTATTGGCTAATATTTTGTTTTGCTAAACAGTTATGAGTATTGGTCATACTACTATCTAGCCGGTCTATAATTCATACAAGATTCATGAGCGAAGAGCATATCAAGATAACACTCTGGTGAGTAAACCAATCAATCCTTCTTAGTTAATGTATTAAAAATTATTTACATTGGTGGATTATATTGATACTGTTGTTTATTGCTACTGTTTACTGAGGAATTCTTGTGACACTTGTTTGAAGACGCATAATCTGATTTTAAAAAATGAATAAATTACAACGTACAAAGGACTATCTTTGAAGTTTACATAGAAATATCGGAAAATACAAAATTAGTGAGTGATAATGATCACAACACATGGAAGCAAAGGAGAGCAACCCACTGTCATGAACAGGAAACGATATCCGCTGATGAGTATGCATTATCATCAATGGTATTATATTCTTATCGGCCAAAGCGGGATATTATTGATTATAAAAACTAGATGGGCTGACCCGTGAAGGCATTCCCGCTCTGGGGAAAGTATCCCTCGAGGGATCACCTCTTGCCATTCTTCCCTGTGCGAAGACCAGCTATGCGCCACGGTGTCAACTATAGTAAGTACCTGTTTTTAATACTTTTATATTCAGCAGTCTTTATTTCTGACGACTTACATGTTATTCCTTTAACAGCTCCTTTCTAACAAATGACTAACCAACGAGTTGACTATGTTAGCCATGTGAACGTAACGTTGTTTCCTGCAATTTTATTTAACTTCTGAGAAATCTGCTTAACTGAGCTAATGTACTTTAAACCACGGGAATAAGTTATTACGATAAATTTTCTAATATTTCGATGTTACGAGTTGCCATAACATGAAATCGAAAAAGAAATACAGTATTTTGAACTTTGTGTATTAGTCGCATAACACTGTGACTTGGTGGATGAGTCAAAGAATATATAGCCTAGTTAAGCTCCCTCAAATCGTCGCACAGTATTCAAAAGAATTATTGCATCATCAACTGAAGTAGATCGCTGATTATATTTCAAAATTAAATAAGAGAATGAGGTGGAAGGTAGAACGAGTTATGATAACAACTCCAAGTAAATGTGACAGTCGTAGTTCGTGTATTTGATAAATAAAACCAATTAAATTTTGAAACAACTGATTTAATTTTGCCTATAGTTCTATTTATTTCGCTTTTTACGTCATTCTCACTAGTTGAACAAATTATTCTTCTCGGTTATGTCATATCTATGAATGGTCGTATACATAAAATCATTCACTAGAACTTACTTTGTAGATGGTTGAAAACATTGGACAGCATTCACTAAAAATTTCACAGTGCACTTCAAGAGAATAACAGTGAATGATTCGGTGTCTTTAAAAGCTTGTTCGTACGGAATGAAAAGTGAAATTACAGCCGACTGCCGACTGTTGCATATTGAGATTACTGAAGCGTGAATATATTTAAAAATAATTCGTTCTAGTTATAAAATGTTTACCGCCGAGATGACAATCCATTTTTTTATCAAATAGAAAGCAGATCATATAGTACGGCTTATGATCCAGGAAATGTAGTTCGTTTGTGACGTATTGCATTTTGGCTAGTAACAGAATTAAACTTATTTCTGAATTAACGTCATTTTGGATATTATATGAAATATTACTATTAATATTACAATATACAAGTATTTTCAGACTGACAATATTTTGCCCAAACAAATTAATTTATTACAGAATAGTTTCGTAAAAATTGTGTGAAAGGGAATGTCTGACAAAAATGCTAGGGTTGTAGCTCTTCTAAACGGGCAATATTTTTCTAGCCCGCAGGATTATATTCCGTAAAAAATGTATATAACGTCAATAAAACCGATAAAATGACATCTTGCTGACTAAATAAGCTAGTGTGCAAATAGTTCATTCCGAACATGGAGTGTACGACAGCTCGTTCCAAGTTGACGTCTTGGAAAACCTACATAATGACATAAAAAACCTACATAATGTAATAAAAACCGGCATAGTGCCACTTTTCAAGTTATGTAATATCCCTGCGGGTCATACATTTTGATATTTCTTACTTATTTTCATGTAGTGTTGTGAAATTGCCAAATTACTATGTTCCTACTTAATGTAATGTAAGTAGTGCTAGCTTCCGCGAGGCGTACATTTTCGTCAGTCATTTTCCCTTATTTTGCAGTCCAACTGATGAGAAATTCTGACCAGGTATGTGTCTACATATTGCAAACAGTACTGCCAAGGTACAGTCGAGACATAACTGATATGTGCTAGATATATGGCTAGGCCACAATTATTGCACATGGTTCTATTAGGGCACGTTTCGATCTTCGCAAAATGTACTCTAAATTCTTATATTGCATTAGGTACAGTTTTACCACCAACGTTTATAGAACCTTTGTGCTTTGTCATTGAAATATTGGCACAGTAACACCATTTACACCTAATTATAACGGGTGGGCCATCTATCGGTTTCGATTTGAACCACGTGTTAATTTGACGCTGACAATACTTATGTCAATCTGATTTGTCATAAAATTCAGTATATTATCTCCGCTGAACGAAATGAATCGATTTACGCTTGAGCAACGTTGGGTAATATTGGAAATTTATTTCCAAAACAAAGACAATTGGGCAGAAATTGCACGAAAATGCCGTTCAAAATTCGGTCGCAACGAAGCACCAACAGCGCCCGGTATACGCAAGTTTATTAATAAAGTGCTTGAAACTGGTTTCATTGTTGATGCTCCAACACGTCAGCGTGCTCGTACAGTGCGTACACCCGAAGGTATCGATGCTGTGGCTGCGAGTGTGCGTGAAAATCCATCAACGTCAACACGTCATCGTTCCCAAGAATTGAACATTTCCCGCACCAGTTTACGACGAATTTTGCGGAAAGATCTCGGTATGACGCCTTACAAAGTTCAATTGGTTCAAGAGTTGAAGCCGCGTGACCATCCACTTCGTTCTGCCTTCGCTACATGGGCCAACGAGCAACTAATCAATGATGTCGATTTTGCGAAAAAAATAATCTTTTCAGACGAAGCTCATTTTCATATTGGTGGCTACGTCAATAAGCAAAATTGCCGTATCTGGGGCTCGGAAAACCCACACGAGGTCTTAGAGAAGCCAATGCATCCCTTGCGAGTGACTGTTTGGTGTGGATTGTGGAGCGGAGGCATCATTGGCCCATATTTCTTTGAAGACGGGGACGGCGCAACCGTTTCTGTCAATGGAAACACCTATCGCACCATGATAACTGATTTTTTTGTTCCTGCTCTTGATGGTATTGATGTGGAGAATGTTTGGTTTCAGCAGGATGGTGCAACTTGTCACACATCGCATGCCACAATCAACTTATTGCGCGAAACCTTCGATGGCCGTTTAATCAGTCGAAATGGTGATGTCAATTGGCCCCCAAGAAGCTGCGATTTGACACCATTGGACTATTTCCTGTGGGGCGCTGTTAAAGACAAGTGTTATGTCGACCATCCAGAGACAATTGACCATTTGAAGGCCAACATTCGTGATGCCATTGACGAGATACGGCCCCAAACACTCGAAAAAGTGCTCGAAAATTGGTCCGATCGAATGGGCTACTGTGAGGCCAGCCGCGGCAGCCATTTGAATAAAGTAATATTTCATTTCTGAGCGGAACAATTGTACTTCAAAACAAAAAAATAAATTTGGCAATATCTCAAACCGTTTTTGTTTTATTTTATTTTTAAATCGAAACTTTTAAATGGCCCACCCAATATTAAGCTGCAATTATTGCAAATTGTTGGATACAGATAACGTCACAATTCTATACGAACGAAGCGATTGAATATACTGATATGACTGTTCTATAACAAACACCGTTAAAAGTAGACCGCAACTAATTTCATTACCTTCGTTCTTCTCGGTCTTGTCCGTCGCTTGCGTTGACGCTATAGAATGTTTTTTCTCTCTATCGTGCGCGTTCTTGCTGAACATGTGCGACCTGAACGTTGGCCTCTCCGAAGAACCCTCATGACCTCTCATCATATCTTCTTTTCTGCCATTCCTCTTCTCGTACTTCGAATCTTCTCTATCCCATATTTCTGTCATGTGTCTTGGCTCTGTGGAGGTGTTGGTCGTCGTTTCGGCCAGTTCCCAGCTGTCCCTCCTCAGTCCGTTCTTGTCAACTTCGTCTTTACCTGAAGATTGGGAATCTATATCATCATAGTAATATCGAAGGGAAACGCAAAGCTTTCGGAGAGTGGCCAGGATTTTAGACGTACTTAATTTGGTGTCTGGCCTTTAAAGAGCTATTTTTTTCATTTTTCTAATTACTAGGATGGAGAATCGAGAAGAGCTGTTTTTTAAGATTCTCCTAAACATTTCAAGCCTGACCACGTGGTGAAAGGGGTGTAATGAATGGACTTTGTATACACAATTCTAGTTTTGTTGGAATATCGGAATTTTGTATCCAAAAATAGTCTGTATTCTGTCCAAAACTGGAAATTATTTAGTTCTAGCGTTATGTTAGTTATTCCTTGCATTGTCCTTAAAATTTGACCCTACTTGGCGGCGTCTTTGAAAAATGGATGTAAACAGCCTATTTCAGCTATTATGGATGCAATTTTTTACACACGTGGAAAAACACATTATTTCCATTACATTGAAACGGACTTGTTTAGTTCTGAAATGTTATATAGCCAACTCATACATCACTCTAAAAATACTTAAGGGGATTGTAATATATCTAGAGAAAAATAAGTTGCCCTTAGCTTTTGTATAGGTTGACGAATACCGATTACTACGATTAGAAAAAATGGAGTACGGAAAATTCTCTCACTTGCCTTTTTCTGAAATATTTATCCGTACCTTAAATTATACAGGGCCACAAAATAAAAAAGAGGTGTCTGCTTGATGACCCACCATACTTCACTCATGTACAATTTCATTCTGAACACTGATCTAGAGTCAAAATCTGGGGTCGATGGACAAATAAGAAAGCAATTGAGGCATTAATCTCACACATTTTGGTATTTTTGGGCGAATGTGCGTTTCTTCAGAGACTCATCCACGAAAAATACAACATTTTTTAATTCTGATGACTAGATTAGTTTCATTTTTGTTTTAACTTCAAATTCGTATTCAGGAAGAAGAAATACATGGACCGAAAGGCCCCCAGCACACACCGCTTTTTATTTTTTTAAAGACCTGTCCACCGACCCCCAATTTTGACTTCAGATTCCTGTTCAAAGTGAAAAAAAAAACATTGGAAAAGTATAGTCGTATCCCAAGCTCACATCATTTTTTTCAATCTGTGAACTTGTGTTAATCATACCTAAGAAGAAGTTATCGAGTGACAAGCAGTTATTTTAACTAATATTCTAAGATAAATTTTTCGGTATATCGAACTGTATTAGCATCAAGGTGCTATAGGTTTCTCTGATGCTAGATCATTGCGAACGTAGTCGAAATATATATATATATATATAAAGAGAAATATATAGAATGACAAAGCTCGAAAACATGTAACATTACTGAATTTGGTATATCTGGAATAGCTTCTGAAAGTGTATCAAAATGACCCTTAGATTCTTTATGACCTTTGTGTAGTTCGTAGCAGATTTAAAAATGTGAAAACATTTTGTTCCTGAACGAGTAGATTAGGAAATACAATCCAGTGGATTTCAGCAACTACAAGTACTAGTATTTGATTACATATAAAGAGGGCCATAAACACTTTTCTAGTCTGAATTTCAAATCCTTACCATACCAAAAGATCTCCCAATTTCTTGATCTATTCACCCAGTGTTTCTGAGATTAAATTTTGTATTCCTCAATATGACTCTAGATTACAAGTCAGTCAAATAGTATCGTTGATTTCTTTCCATTACAGTTCAAAACTCTATTTAATGATATAACGTCTTCGGTTCATGACATAATTAAAAACCTATACTCACCCCATCCATCATCAGTCGTTCCTTGAGTCACACTACTCTGTACATCCCAGTTGGCACTGAACGAATTCCTCTTGGAATTGTTCTGCGCATGGACGCGGTTCTGATGGACTCCAAAGGTGTCCCTGTCCTGCCTCTGGGCCATGAAGGAGGACTCTCTTACTGGTTCAACGGGAGGTGGTGGTTGGTTTGGCCTCACTGGAGGCGGTGGTGCAGGTCCAGGAGGAGCTGGAGGGAGAGAGTTGGGACCTATCGGTGGGGGTGGGGGTCCTGGCTTCCAGTTGGAGCTAGCCCAGCTCTGACTTGTCGGGGACTGCTTGCCGTTGTGAGATATCTAGAAGAAATTACAAAGTGTTAGAGTTCGGCGAGTTATGGATACGGGAGGTCCATTATTCTGCTGTTCTGATATTAGAGTGTGTTACTCTATGACATGTTGACCAATGATATTAACATAGTACTGAAAAAGGTTACGCAGTCTCTAAGAGTCTACGGTGTCCTAGCTACTCCTACGTAAAGCTATACATCCGTATCTCTGTAATAGCTGTTTTATTAATTGAAAATTAAACATGTTGGCTTTACGGAAATCAATGCATTGCATTCTTATCAAAAACATGTTTGAGAAACATGGTTTCTTTTATAGAAATCATAGTTTTCATGATAACTTATTTGTCATATAAGTGTCTTTCATAAAGCAAGCTCCCCACCCCCAATTATTTATTCTTCGAATGGGTCAAGTTAGCAAGCTGAAAGTGTAGGAGATGTAATGATATGCACGAATACGAAGCGTGAAAATTTAAAAATGCTGGCTGGATGCCATCTTGCAATTTCTTTGAGGGTAGAATATCAAACTAATACCATTTGAGTTAGCGGATTGGCAGGCTGTCAAACTTGATTGCCTATAATTCAACTACTCAACAACCATTTGTCAAATCAATACACTTAACATCAAACTTCTTTGCTTTGAAGGGTCAATCCAAATATGGAAGGAAATATGGAAATTTCAAAATATTTATTATATCACACTGAGATAAACATTTCCAGAGAAATAATATTGATATAACATTACGATGATTACTTGTTGCGTTATACGCGAATCAGTGTATAAAAACAGTCAAATTTGAGCCCGCCAGTCTGCTATTTTGGAAGATGGTAGGTTTATATTCTACAGTTATAAAGCAGGGGCTTCAAAATGAGGTGCCACTGGACGCCTACCTCTATTTAAAAAATGTTCCAAGATGTCGTCTATCCGCCATCTTAAAATTTTCTGCTGTTATTTTCAGGCTAGAATGTAGTATCCATGCATCGATTTCATCACTCCGAATGTCAGGTTGCCAACTTGACACATTAAAAAAATAAGCAGGTGGACTTTTTGGGAATCACTATACGAAGAAGCAAGGAAATCTGGGGGAGCTGTGTTTAAAAAAATAATCGATTTTTACTTCACTTTAATTAAAACCTTTGCCAATATTTAACAGAAAAAATGCATTGCTCATTTTTTGAAGAATGTGAAATACAATCTCTACTATACCCTCCTGTAACGCATATCAAAATTTTCCTGTCTTACATATATCTCGGGAAACAAGTAGGTCATCATGGAGCTATATATTCTCCATAAAATGTTTGATTTGTTACCTCTGCAGCATCTCTATTTACTTGCAGCCTTAGTTGCCACAATGCATTCAGTCTTGCGAATAATTCTGTTAATACCTTCCGAGCATAGCACTGAGCTACAGGCAGTCAGGCTGGTGAAACATGTACCCAGAGGGTTCACCCTCAGCATCAGTACTGGCATCTTGCTTTTGGATGTTTCAAAGGCCTTTGACAAGGTGTGTCACGCGGGCCTCCTTCATAAACTAACCCAAAAAGGTCTCCATTTTTGGCTTCTAAAATTACTGAAATCCTTTCTTAAAGAAAGGAAATTTTGGATCAAAATTAACAATGTTTTGTCAACAATACGGCCAGTACGGGCCGTTGTTTCTCAGGGTTCGGTCCTAGGACCAGTCCTTTATTCGTTTTTTATTCATGTTGCCCCTTGCTTCAGAAACTGTGAAGTACCTCTATGCTGACCACACTGCACTTGCAGAGTGTGACGGACGAAGTACTAGAGTGGGGAACGGTGGCTGATTAAAATAAATCATTCGAAATCGCAGGCTGTTTCTTATACCAAAAAACATAGCGGCCCCCAGCAGAGGTTTCTGTAGACGGCAATCGTGTACCATGGACAAATTCTGCCAAGTATCTCGGTGTCACCCTTGATAAAGGCATGACCTGGCAGAAACATACAGAAAACAAAATTTCAAATTGCGTTTCGGCAACTATATCCTTATGTGGATCCTCCAAATTGAGTTTGATAAACAACAACAACGACTATATAAAATGATTATTAGACCAGCCATTACTTATGCATGTGCGGCTTGGTGTTTTCTTACCAAGACAGACATGTAAAGTCTTCAAGTACTGCACAGCAGAACTTTGCGAACAATTTGAAACGCTCCGCAGTATGTCTCAAATGAGACACTACACAGAGACCTTGTGTTGAGAGGTAAGGTCGCCGCCTTGTGGGGTGAAATGATGAACAGACTTTGTTGGTTGCTGTGTTGAATTCTTGGGAGTTTTATTGTTGTACACGATTGCAGTCTGTATTAGACGTTTTACAATAACACTCTTTTACGTTAATATTCAAATTTCACAATTATTTAGACAGTTTTTGCCGTGCTGAAAAGAAAAAACGTGTGGACTGTATCTTGTTCTCTCAACTCTCTCTCGACGCTGCCACGTTGAACCGATTGTTCGGGATTCGCGGAAAACCTTGACATTCCTTACTTGAGGGATTATGTCAAACTTCACACACAGCAATTCTCTGTTGCGTGACTCAGTGAGCTACACAGTGGAGCAAGTTCGTAAATATTCAAGGTTGCGGCACGCACTGTAACCAAAAAAATAGCGCAAAGTTTTAGTATACCGTAAACCGGGGCTACTTTGCTCCTATGGGTGTTACTTTGCCCCTTGACCGAAAAGAGTTTATTCGTACTTTTATTATTAGAAGAGATAGGTATGCAACCAAACAAACTGCAAAATATTGAAGGTTACCTCCCTGGAAAAGACTCCCGCCTAAACCATCATTCCACCAGCATTAGTAAACAAACAGACTGAGGCTGAATCGGTAGCAAAAAAAGCTTTAGAAATTTGAACGTGGAAATTTGTTGTGTGCAGTGGATATTTTCATTTTATCTGGCAAGTGAGTATTTTTGTACTAGTTTAATATCATTTTAGAATATGTTGTTAATAACTTTACCCTTCATAAACGATAAAATAGTAAGATAATATTTTTCTTGTTGAGACAGGCTAAATTTCAATTATTTGGGGTTACTTTGCTCCGGAGCAAAGTAACCCCACTAAATTCCTTTATAGTTTCTGTAGTATGCGGTATATCATTTTTGGACTGCTTTATGATTTTCATATGATCCCTTTCATTACAGGCATGCCTAGAAAATACAAAAGACGAGTGGGATCGAGGAGGTATGCAGATTATACAGCCGAAACTTTGCAAATGTGTTTGGCTGAAATCAGAAGTGGTGACATATCACACAGAAAAGCGGAACCAAAGTATAAAATTCCAAGAAGAACAATTTTAAATAAACTCAAAGGTAACCATTGCAAAAAACCAGGAAAGCAGCCTATATACACGTCTCAAGAAGAACACCAATTTGTCGAATGCATCGTAGCGCTGGGAGAATATGGGTTCCCTATCAACTCAAGGGAATTGAGACACATCATCAAAAATTATTTAAGTCGCTGCGGAAGGGAAGTGAAAACCTTTCAGGATAATTTACCAGGACAAGATTGGACAAATGCCTTTATAATTAGACATCCTGAAATTTCAATACGTTTTGCAGAAAATATCAAACGTACACGAGCTGCAGTGGATGAACCGTTATTAAGAAGCTTTTTCGAAAACCTGGCTGGTGAGTTGAAGGACGTTCCTCCATCAAACGTTTGGAACTTCGATGAAACCAACCTCACAGACGACCCAGGCAAAAAAAAAGTCCTGGTTAAGAAAGGAACCAAGTATCCAGAAATTATTAGAAATGCATCAAAAACATCTATCTCCATCATGTTCTGTGGTAACGCCGCTGGAGAACTGTTGCCTCCATATGTAGTTTACAGGGCACATAAGATGTGGACTACCTGGGCAGAAAACGGCCCAAAAGGGTGCCGTTATAATGCAAGTAGCTCTGGGTGGTTTGATGCTAATATATTCACAGATTGGCTTGGATGCCAGATGATACCTAGACTTAAAAAGATCGAAGGAAAAAAAGTTCTACTGTGTGACAACTTATCCTCTCACATAACAATACATTCTCTCGATCTGTGTCGCAAAAACGAAATACACTTAATTTGTCTTCCACCCAACAGTACCCATCTGACACAGCCACTTGACGTGGCATTTTTTCGACCCTTAAAAATTGCATGGCGTCAAGTTTTATCAGATTGGAAAAACAGTGAAGAAGGTGTTCGAAATACAAATATCCAGAAACAATTCTTTCCTCCATTGTTATTAAAGCTGATGGAAATTATTACGCCATATGCTGAGGCTAACTTAAAAGCTGGCTTCCGAAAGTGCGGTATATTTCCCTTGAATATCGAAGAAGTCCTAAGCCGTATCCCTAGGAGTACTTGCAATCCGGATGTAGTTCAATCAGCGTTTCTAGAATCTCTTGAAGCGAAACGGACAGCGATAACCAACACTACAACCAAGCGTAGAAAAAAGTTAAACGTTCCTGCTGGAAAAAGCGTTAGCGCCGATGAATCCATAATTACTGAAGAGACCTCGTTAGACGAGCTTACTGCTTCTTTTTCCAGACAGGATGAAGATGTAGTATTTGATGACAACTCTTCGGACGATGTCAACTTTGAAGAGTTGGACAAAGATCAACAGATAGAAAAGGAATTTATGAGTTTTATAGAAGGTCAAAAAAATGAATTTCATTTTGCGAACGTGATCCGAGAAGTGGGTCGTTTCGTAGTATTCTCCTATATGGGACAATTATTCCCAGGGGAAATTGTAGCTTTTGATGACGAAAAAGTTACTATAAACGCGATGGAAAAGTCCCTTAAGATGTGGAAATTGCCTTCAAGACGCGATGAACTAACGTACCCTTGGTCTGACGTTCTAGGCGGCATTGCTACACCCAAGAAAATTTCCAAAAGAGGAACCTTCACTGTTCCTGAGTTAACACCACTTTTTGATCTATGTTAAAATTATTTCTTATGTTTCTATTTGTTTTGTATGATTTATTTTGAGTTGTCCATACAAATAAAGAATATTATTCCGTAAGTTCGATTTTTTTTAATAACATATATTTGGAAGAAAATATGAAGAAAATTGCTTCATAGTTATGTTTCTTGGAGAAAAGTTGACAAATCAGCCACGTAGCTTTGCTCCACCTATATGGGTGAATGCATTATAACATATTTTTTTAAATGGAGCAAAGTAATCCCAAGCTATGATATACTTTGCTCCACTTTTCAACTAAAAAAAAAATATGTATTGTTGACAATCTAAAATGCAAATTCCAACAAATATTCATTCTATTAGGTATAATCTGTGAGTACTGAACGAATAATGGGTTTTGGTTAAATTTCATGATTTGTTTTTATAGTAATCCTAAAATAGTACGTAAAATTGGAGCAATGTAACCCCGTTTTACGGTACTCAAAATTACACTCTAACAAAACCGAATCAAAATTTGCTTAGTTCACCTCAAAGTTAATATGTGTACCAAGTCAAAAGACTATGTGTTTCCTCTTTATCTAAACACTTCTGTTTCTTCTTTGCTCTTCTTCTTTTTTCTTCTTTCCCTTTCTTTGTTTTTTCCTTGACGTTGGTTTCTGGGCAACCAGGACTGACAGATTCGACTAACGTTCACTAGACAGTAACTAATGGGCAAAGGTCCTATGGACCGCCCAGACAAACAAATGACGAATAGTAGTTAATACCAATCACAGTTTTTATGTGATACACACAAATACAGTAAAATGCATTAGGAATCTCAATCGCGTTATCGGTACCAGACAACCATAATTTAAAACTAATGAATATGCTAACCATTGTGGGAATAAGTAATCAAGAGCAGTAAATGTTACTCACGCGTAGCTATATGAACAGCTTCCTGCCGAATAAGTTACTCAAATAGCACGCAAAACCATTTTTTGTTATACTTCACTTGTTAGTGGCTGCATAGTAAGACATCGACCAGATACACATTGTATGTAATAATAACGATTAGATGAAAACCTCAAGAACAACTAAACGTTTCGAGTCAAGGTTCTAATTCTTTATCATTAATACTAGCTACCGTCAAATGTAAATACATAATAATGGGTACACACGGTTCAAACTTGATTTCATTCATTCCAATTTATTTCGTTACACAACTGCAATGTGAGAGGTTTTTCATCATTTTTTATTAATCAGTCAGTAGCGTATCAGTCGGGATATATACAGGATGTCCTTAAAGTTTGAAGTTACCCTTACAACGCATATATAGGTCTTGCATCAGTAAGTAAATAGTAACATATAGACTGAAGCTTTAAGGTTACTGAGATATTAAGTCCAGAAAGACGACCCTCGCTCTTTTCTGCAACTCGAATTCGAAAATGCCGAAATTGGCACCCATAGCAATTTTGATGTTACTTTCAAGATGGTTCAAGATGCTACTGATACTTCGCCAGTGTATTTGGATCATTTTCCTGGATGTTTCAGTCCCAAGCCGTGTAGGTTGGCTTATGTTGTGCAAAGGCAGTCGAGGTGGACACAGCGGAAGGCGTAGACATTCCCAAATGCTGCAAATTCAGTTAACAAACTTAATTTTTTTGACCGAACGGTGACAACTTTAAACAGTATTTACGAGCACATGTGACAGAGCAATAATTGACATTTCTTATAAAATTAATATCGAGTAGTTCTCTTTAAATCCTTTTGTACGTTTTTGATGTTTTATCTCACGTTAGCTTTGTTATTCCAAAATTAGCTTTGAGGATACCATGTACTGTTTGTACACATATCGCATTATTGGTCCAAATTGGTAAGAACTTTCTCCCAAGAATCACTCAAGGAATCGCCATTCCATATTACGGCAGCAACTGTGACGTAAAGGTAGAAGTTATGGGTCTTCTAATCAGTCGATATATGCTGCGCGGGTTCAAATTCCGTCTCAAGAGAGTTATTCTCTTGGATTTGGACTTTGTGATTGTGTGTATATGTGGTAGAGGGTCTGTGACTGTCGAACACGGAGGTACCACCCGGCGGATCTTTAAGGCGATACCGAAATGTGTGCACACGTGTTCCCTCGCTAGAGTCCGTGTTTGCCCGTATAGCCCCACGGTATCTACGAGTGTTTAGGTCGTACGCGTTCGTGATGTATAGTCAAGTGTAAAAAGATACTGTCTAGCCATCATACTGCAATAAACAAAATCCTCAAATTAGATACCTTTTCGTAGCTTTTACTACAGCTTATAAAGGTTTTGCTGTATACAGTATGTTCGTCATATCGTAGTAATTTTTAACTGGAATATTTTTCATACTCCCGCCGACTGGAGAATTACAGCATCCATTCGGTACCTACTTCGACTTGGTTATACGGGTTCCACCAAAACTATAATCATTAGTACTATTTCTCACAATACTTTGATGTTAATATCGACCAGGATTTACTTTCTAAAGGCCTATGAATTGGTCGCAGAAAACATTACTCACATGCTGCAATATTTCTGGACTAGACTTCCCGCTGGTATCCTGTGAGTCGTCTCCCCATCTGCCAGCTAACTGCTGCTCCAAAAGCATTTTTCTCGTATCTTCCAGTTTGTTCACACTTCTAGAAGGTTTATCTACTTTGCTACTAGTAGATCTGACCGAATGGTTAGCTGTGACCAGTTCCAGTCTTTGCCTCATTTCAGAGCTCAGCTTGAGCTTACCTATGCTACCTGGAATCGAGACTTTGTGTGAATGTATGAATTTTTAACGACTGTAAATGTTTGAGTACTAAGCTACTGAGCATACTAAAAAATAATATGAGATTGAACAGTGAAGGGGGTGTATACTTATGTCAAAAATGATTACATAACTTTAAGAGGAAGTATTTTCTGGAATACTCTAAATTTCCTGTGCTTTTTGAAAAGGAGCTTTGTTTCAAGGAGTAAGCTTCTTGAAGGTGTCAACTGATGCATGATGAAATGATGTGAATTAAAGATCTTTGATGGATGGTAAAGCCTTTGTAGAATATTATACTTTCATTTCAGGTACGTTAAACGCAAGACATCTAGATTGGTCTTGTCAATTTTTTGTTTTGTGTTTATGAAAAGGAAGGCAGTATTTCGAAGGACATTTCTGAATTGGAGTAGTACAAATGAAAGATCTTCTGTTTTGCGTTCGCCAACAAAGCGAGCACGGAAAATCGAGAGATCGAATATTATTAAATCGCTTAACGCAATTGATTGACATAAGGAATTATGATGATTGTTGTGAATTCAAATATAATATTTTTCAGGAGCAGATTAATCTTCTTACCTGGTGACGGCCTAGCAGCACCAATTTCAAAGCACCTCTTAGAGCTGGTCTTACTCATCCTCTCGTTGCCTCTGAGCATCGGCTCTACTTCCATCTCGTCCCATTCTGCAGCCGATGAATCAACTTTGCTATAGTTCCCATTGGTGTGACCATTCATATGTTCGGACTTAAAATTCCCACTGCTATAGCCATTGGACATCGTAAGCGATTGGTCCTTGTTTGGAGTTACTTTTCGTTGGTGCTGTCTCATTTTGAAGTGCATGAAATCCTCGCCGTTTTCTTGCGTGTTTCCGTCCTTGGGCGGCGGCCACCTCCATTTTCCTAGAAGATTGTAAAAAAATGCTTTTAGTCAAAACTCCTGAAGACATTGGCAAAACTATTTAATTTAATATGACCAAAAGGGCTTATGACAACAAAAATATAACAGGTTTCTGAGTGAGGTTCGGACAACAAACAAAAACTCAATTGAATCAGGAATGTAACAACGCTATCTAAAATGGTTCTTCCTATACTAGCTAATTGTACCAACGTCAAGTGAGCACTATTTTAGCTTTGTCTATAAAGCAGGTCCGCCTCTGATCAATTTTTATCAAATACCTCATGTAGCCATCACCCTGTAAAACCATAACTAAGACCCATCCTGTATGAAAAGCTTTGAGATGTACAAGGCGATCGAGAGAAACAGTTTTCCAACGCCGCCTGTCTAGGGCACGTGGATTCGTAACCGTGTTTCACAATTAATCGGTTGCCTTTACTTCCAAGACATCCTTTGTAAATTTTCAGTGGGTTACCATTTTGTTTAGAATTCAGAAAGGTGAGCTGCTGATAATCAGCTGATAAAAATACTTGCTAAATGGGCTCAACAAATGTTTCATACATACCTATCCGTACAGTTTTGGCACGCCCATACGGATCCATGAAAGGCCTAGCTTCACTGGGATCAGTACCAATCAACGGTGGAGGCATAGGCGGAGGTGGTGGGGGGATTCCATTTTTACTGGCGATGCTCACATTTGACTCGGAGCTTGCCTTTCTGTTTGGCGAGCTCGATTTCCGGTTAACTGCACCTGTTCTGAAACTGGGCTTCCTGTTTGGAGACGACTGACTTGGTTGAGTGTGAATCTGTGCCTTCACTGTTGTTTGAATGGTTTCTGTCAGCTGAATAAAAAATATCTAATGAGGTGCGTAAGTAATCAGAAGGGCGCTGGAGCAAAAATCTTTCGTCAAATATTAAAATTAAATAGATTGATCAACAAAATCAAACATTGCGATACCTAAGGTTTATATTTGAGATTGGCAAGTTTTCATTATCCTCGAAAGAATACTATCTTTTTGTAAAAAGTAATGTGAAAAATCTAACAAAAACTATAACCAAAAAACTGCTTTATTGCAAGAAAATCTACCACGCCCCAAGTTAGTCAGATACTTGAGAAAGCTATTGATGTTGTACAATAATGAAAATGACCCCTGCTCAAAACGTGTGGAAAATGGGTCCCAGTCGATTTTAATTCCAGTATGATGATAACCTTAAAATCTACGATTGTCGGCTTCCTCTAATGAATGAGTGTAAAAACCTTGGACTCTGGATTTATACAGAACTAAAATGCAAAGAACACGTAAATTCGTTATGTAGTGCATCATACTGCATTTTGAAGCAGTTTTATCCACATATGCAAATAATATCTACTTCAGTAAAGTTGAAACTATGTGAAACTTTAATTATATCAAAAGACCAGTTATTGTGACAGTGTATATGGCGCCGCTCTATCATATAGTGAACAAAGCAAATTACAGCGTATTCAGAATCCGTGCGTCAGATTTTTTAGCGGAATACGAAAGTTTGATCATATTTCTCTTAATTTAACGAACTTGGTATTCTGCAGATTAAAGGCATGCAAAAAATTCACTTATTGACATTCACACATCAGGTCTTAGCTACCAAATAACCACAATATTTGCATAATAAGTTAACACGATGTAGTGACATAAATCAACTGAATAAAGGAATAGAAGTATGTTAGTGATACCCTTACATTCTAAGGCTGTCTACAAAAAATCATTCAGCTAAAACTTAACTACTAACTTAATTATATAATGATATGCCTGTTACATTCCAAAACTATACACTATTTAATTTTAAGAAGAGGCTTAAACTAAAACTACAAGTCGAGGTCTGATGATGAATACAAAATGCTAGAAATAAGGTAGTCCTTAAGAATAGTTTCTTGTAATTGTCCTGTTTTTTTGTGTTGTCAATTATTTAGTAATTATTGGGAATTATGGGTACATACTTGTTGGTGGAATGTTTTATTATATATATATATATATATATACATGCTTCTTTGTTCTTTCAAAGGTTAAGTTGAAAAACGCTAATCTTACCGACACTTCTCCTTTTTTGTACTTTTACTTAGGTAAGAAATAAGGCCAATTTATCATATATTATTATTATTTATTTCTCACTTTTCTGGATAAAAGTACTTCTGGGATCAAAACAATCTTATGTTTAGTTTCCGAGAAATAGAGGGACAGTTTGCCAGATTGCAAAAATGGTGAATGTGTCGATTGCAATTGTCAGACCAAAATCTCGGTATTAGCTTACTGAAAGAAGTGCTATTCCATCAAAACATATTATGTGGAGAATCAATTGCATAGTGATTATTATTTATTTATATCTGTTTTCCAGGCGATATATTCCATTTGTTATAACTGCGGATGCAGACTATTAAACAGTCTTTGATACAATTGGCGCATTTGCATATTTTTCATGAATCCACCTCCTAACGATCATAGTCAAGATCAGCATGATACCTTCCAATATCTTTATTCAAGGTTTTAGAATGAAATATTCCTTTCAGACTAAGAATTTTCCGAGTATTTGGTCCGAGAACTATAATTCACACATGCACCATTTTTTTCAGATCTCAAATCTCCCTATTTCTCAGAACGAATCTTTGACCCCATGAGAATTTTTGTTCAGGAAGGTGAGAGATATATCATTTTGAATTGTTAGGCAATTCGACTAGCACTCATTTTCTATATAGTTTGTGAGGGGCCGTTTACTAATTTCATTATTTGCGATCTGAATTAATTCTTTATGTCCTTAAAGGGCATTCTCAGCAGTTGGTACTTGTGCGACATATATGCCAATAAGTATTGAATTGGAAGTAAAATGTTGACTGATGGGCGTCAATGTCATTGAATGCAACAGCAAATTCACAAGGCGCAAAATTTGATTTAGAAGTTGATATCAGAAAGGCAGACGTAAGTGTTTCAGAAAAATGTTTACTAAGAAATTTCGTTCCTATACGTAGTTTGTATTTCTTGATATTTAGTGCCATAGATGCACATTTATCACAATGGATATTGCCTCACCGTTTGAATTTCTATATTTGTGTGAAACTGACTTGACTTTAGACAGACTTACTTTTGACATGAATAAAAAATCAACTACTGGACTTTCTGGCCACTCTCCCAACCTTTTTTTTCTCAAGACGAAACAATATCGGCTTTGCATTGACTGCTTAGTTCAAACAAGTCCAGCATAAAATGGCTCATTATTGACAAAGTTGACGCGCATTCAACTTTCCATATAACGGATTTGTTGCTTAGAAAGGTTGAATATTCCTTCAATAAAATCGACTAGCTAGAACCCGGCTTTAGATTTATTAGTTTCTGCATCCACATACCTTTATATCTCCTGGTACTTGCTGAGTCAGTAGCTGCTGTAATGCCTGATTCTGGGCCAAGAGCTGCTGCTGTATCTGGATGTTCTGCGCCATAGCTGACTGCAGGAAAGCCCGTTGCAGATTTTGTTGATAAGCAGCAATATCAGTTCCGTTTTGGTTCATTCCAACGCCAGGCATATTGAAAACAGGCATGAAACCCTCTTGAGTGGGACTCAAAATCGGCATCATTAGAGAGGCCGGATTCACTATGGGCGCTGGTATTGAAGGAAAGTTGTAACTCGAAGTACCGGCTCCGTTTTGGGTTGTTCCTCCTCCTTTGATGCTGTCCACCAGGTTGTCTTTTTCTGAGAGTTTCTTGAGGCTATCGTTCATAAAAATTGGTCTGAATAGATCACTGATGTAGTCATCTACGTTTCCGTTCACACTTTGCCGGGAAGAACTGTCAGGTGTTGTTATATGTTCAACTTCCTGGTCCAAAACTGAGCTGCTATCACTGTTGCTTCTACATCTGCGGCCACCTCCCTTAATCTTATCAACAATTTGATCTACGCAAGACATGTCCACCGAAGCCTCATCCAATCCTTCAAAAATTTCATCAATAAATTCGTCGAAATCACCTGTCCTCGTTAGTCCCCCTTTGATACTAGCAGCTAGTGATCTTGCGTCACTCAATTCGTCCAGATTTCCATCTAAAACGGGACTGAAGAGCTCGTCAAGGAACTGGTCTACATCTGACGCTTGACTGGGTACTCTAACTCTTCTAACATGGCTAGCAAGACTTGGTGCTTCACTTGTATCAGACATCGCTGAGCTCCTCACTCCTCCAAACTCAGATTTCTCAATATATGCTCTACTTGACTGACTGCCAGGGGGCGCCTTTTTGCCTGTGTATGACGATTTAATGTATCTTGGCCCTCCTCTATGAGAAGTGCTGACACTTGACACGTCTGGATACTCGAATTCTATCTCTTGTTTGGACATATAAGTTTGAGCGGCTATCACTGGCTTAATTGGCGCAAGTTGCTCTATCGAGTGATACCTCTCGTTCAGTTTGGACGACTGACTTAGTCCTAAGTCTGCTAAAGGTGTTGGCTCGGGCTCACTCAAGAGATTGTCCAAGCTCCTCGATCTCGCCTTTTCAGCATCAAAGTATCTTTCATTCAGTGCCGAATTTCTGGATAGAGCATCGTGAGATGTCTTCCTCCCAGCTGGTGAGGTAGCTGCGATAGGCGAGTCTCTTGGCGATCTAGAATATTCCCTCGTATCTCTGGACGATTTTCTAGATCCATGTCTGGAAGACTGAATTGGAGGTGATTGCCTGTTATCTCTCATCATTTCCCTGGACACCTTACGCGCCATACTAACTGGTGGCTCAGGCGGGGGAACTTGAGGTCTTGTTGGTGAAGACGGCGAGTGATCCACTTCTGAAGCTGGTCTTCTACTTCCAGTTTTAAGAAGTGTAGATTTTATGGCTGGGAACGCAGGTGGAAGTTCCAGCTCAGACACCAAATCCATAACGTAGTCTAGGCCATTTCCGTCCGATATCACTCCTGAGTCGTCCATTATCAAGCTCCATCCAGTTGATGGTATACCAAGTGAGGAAATTGCCATTGCAGCAGCCTAGAAGCAATAATATAATTGTCAAACAGATGCTGAAAATAAAGACACAGAATTTTACTGACCCTATTTAACAAGACTTTCCGCTTAGTTTCTGGTTATACGTTTTCGTATCTAGCTTGTGCCGAAAAGGATCCTTTATGAACTAATGACAGCTTTGCGCTCAAAATGTAGAGTCTACTTGACTCTCATTTTTTTAAGCGATATTGAGTGACTACTTCCAAATGGTCAGTTAATATGACGGTGCCCTTCAGAGTGAGATTCTTGTCACAGAACAAAATATTTCAATAGGAAAATATTCGAATATTTAAGACGTAAATAATAAAACGTGAATGAATAACGTGATGGAGCTTACTTCTTCACATGTTGTCCAGGAGTCAACATGGACAGTGGATATGGTCCTGTCAGGCAACGTCAGCGTCAAAGCAGTATTGCAACCTTGCCTAACGCTTCTCCATTCCAACAGTGTTGGTGGAAAAGATCTAGCATGGGGAGCCTTTTGAACGCTTCTAGTCAGTTTTCTTTGCAACGGTTCTTTGTAAGCTGCTGGAGCATAGTCCGAAATAAACCTCAAGAGATACCTGAAAGAAGTAAAACATTTGTCAGCTGTTCAGTGGCGACGCGTGACTTTTCCTAAACTGTTACCAAACCAGATGAGATAAATCTTATTAAAAGAGGTTTATTTTGACCCTTCCATGTAAAAGTTTTTGCTTATTTTAGGTATTGTATTTAAACTTTTTGTAAATTAACGTAAACATTGCTGGACTGGGCGTCTGCGGCACTTGATATACCTCATCGTCTTATGCTATGACAAATCCAAGCCGACAAACAGTAGACGTTTCTAGATGTTCGGAAAATTTTCTATCTTTTTTTGGTAATTAATGTTATCAATTCCCAGTAATTTCCTCTATTTTCATAGTCATCCCCTTCAAAATGACCCCGAAATGGTAATTCTTGTTTGGCCAAAAAACATACAGCATCTATAAGTGTGCTGCCTAAAATCTTGGTTAAAACAACTTTCGATTCTTGTTTTGCTAAACTGAATCAAATTGGCTACACATCTCACATGTAAAGGAGAAATTTCATGTCTCCTCTTCAGAACCCTAAAACTATTTAAATCGTTGCTGGTCTACCAATTTTTTTTTTGTAGAAAACAGAAGACATGGAAAACAATACAATCTGTTTTTCTTGCAACCACATAACCAAGAGTTTTCAATATACCAACTAAATTTAAAATATCGAACTACTTTTTTTATTCCTTTTTAAAATTATCTAAAATAAGTTGGTATTCCACTTTCAATGATCTCCTTTTTTCTTCAAAATTATACAAGGAGAATGACTTTTCAAGTAGTTAATCGATTACGCAACGACACTCATCCATGTTTAATTGCACGCACACTACAGCCGGCAACCAAAACGATTACTAACGAGGGAGAAGTGAGTAACCAAAAAAAAAATGGTAACAAGCCTACATAATAATCGCGGCGGCCCACGCACTCGGGCGACCACGATCAGACTCGAGCCGGTACCGACGGTCCCCGACGGACTGTCAAGTGTATCCATAAATGAAAATGGTAACAACCGACCACCAACTCGAGGCGAGTCAGCTTCATCGCGTTCCCGAAGTCTAGACAGTATTATAGGGCGCATTATTTTCGTGGGGCTAATCTGCTATTTACTGAATTACTAGTACATATTGCTGGGTAAACAAATGAATGAAATTATGTCACAGTAGTCATAAACTATTTATTTTTAAGATTTTTAACAGTTACCACTGGTAACAATGGTTACATGGACGCTTCGCCACTGCAGCTGTTCCAATACCTTCTTCTGGCATATTTGCTTCTAACTGAATTTAATTAGAGTAACGAAGCTCTAATTAAATTTTTTACTTACTCTATAATAGTAAATTCATAGATGCTTATCATATGTCACACAATGGAATGGTCTGTCATATAACTTACTTGTATAGCGGTGGACTTGGTTGAAAACAGCTCAAACAATGTGTCATCAGTTGCCAGACTCGCTCGGCATTATCATTCTTCCACGTCTGGTTGCACAACTGAACCAACAATTCATCTCTTAGCCCTTTGGTGCTCAATCCTTTGTAGATCATGTAGTCAGCCAGAGCTCTTTCCCTAGCGCCAGTTAACTGAGGATCATTTGACCAGCGCAGAATTAGCTTGAAAAGCGCCACAGCATCTTGAAAGTCTTGGTCTCTTGCTGCAGCTTTCGACAGAAATGGAGCCGTAATTGGTTCCTTCTTCATATGAAGCTCGGCTCCTTTGAAGTAGATGGACAAAAATTTGTTGAACTCAAACTGTCCCAGGTCATTTGGCAATTGAAGTGATGGTGGGGATCCATTGATACCACCCAGTACTTTCATGAGATTCTTCTCAGTGTGTGGAGGGTTGTAAGATTCTAACTTGGAAAAAATGAATGCTAGCTCCGCAGGTATCTCAAGGTAGCTCACATTAGATTTGTTAGGTGCTTTTGCGACAGCTTTCTGTGCTTGAGCTTGCAATTGAGCTTCTCTTGCTGCTCTCTGTTTCGCCCTTTCCTTGGCAACCTGTTATGGAAAAATTGAAAACATATTTTGAGAAAACGTAGTAAACATTTGACACGAGTTGTTTTGAGGAATATACCCAAAGTGAAGAAAATATATCTTATTAGGTACATGGATGGAAGAATAATGTACAATTACTATCTGTGACTACCTATTATGTTGTACTCATTTTAGCACCATTAACATTTTTGTCTAGCTTTTTACCTTCTCAGCTTCAACTCTTCTCCTGAACTCAGCTTTCCTCTTCGCGAACCTCTTCCTCTCTAGTCTGCCCCTATATAAAGCTTGTGCTTTAATGACGCCTCTTTGTATCTTGTGATACTTCATCCTTTGTCTATATCCCTTCCAATGCTTTTGTATGGTGATTGAGCTCCTCTTCAATTTTCGGTATCTCTTCCTGGCCAAGTAACCTCTTATATGTTTCTGTATAAGAACTGCAGCATCTTTGAGCGATTCTCCGCGTTTGACCTCTAATTGACGTTGAAGGTTTTCGCGGAGAAAGACTCTTGTGGCACCTAGTTGGTAATCTGGACCCTCTGAAAGAAAGGAGAATAAAATTTAAAAGCCATGTATGTATTAATGTGAAGCTGGCTTTGTCACCTATTACTTGAGAATGATTTAGAGAAATTGGTTAGTTGCCACGTTGGAAGCTATAGGTTTCTCAACTAGAATTTCCCTTAATTTTTTCAAATGAGATTTGGACTACCAGTGGCTTCGTAGTGTTTGTATAAATTGCGTGACAGTTCAAGAAATTCGTTAAGTCATATTAAGAAGGGACTTTGATATAGAACGTGCTGGTACAAACATATTTACTGACGAATAAATATTTTCGGACAAAATGTACATACCTGTACCTGTGTGTGGCATCTTCTCCAGAATAGACCTACAAAGATCTCTGAATGGTGCTCCTCTTGGTATCCTTGCCAGCAAGTATCTATGAATACAATATGATCAGATCAGATATAACTAGCGCAATCTTTTGGTAATTGATCGACTTCTCGCAACTGTGTTTGAGCTTTGACAGGCACATAGTACGGTAAAAGTATGACTTGTTCAAAAGGTGCTGTAACCTTGACTGTTGTTACAGTCAGTCTCTATAGAAATCGAGGAGAATGGAATCCATGCTATGTTTTCCGAAAATCAAAACCAATTTTAGAAAATAAGGTTTGCTGACATTTTGCCTACCATGACAGTGCAAGACACATTAGTGAAATAAAATGAAAAAGCGGCTGGAGTCAGCTGCTTGTTTTGCAGTTATACAAGGACTAGATTATTTTGATACATAGCAGTACTTTTTCAAAATCCTCATAGTGTATAGAGGGTGTTTCAATTTCAACCTTCATTGTTGGGATATCGGGGAAATAATGATGAAGGACAAAAGTTAAGAAATTTTGGAAAAGTCGGTTTTTCCATCTCCAGAAATACTCTAAATTACGAAACATCCTAAGTGATACTTTTGAGTTACCTAAATGCGCAACTTTACACCAATTTAAACGGCTTCGTATCTCTTACAGTTTCCCATTCACCATTGGTGAAGAGCGAATTTGACACTCCCGGTATGATACACAATCTTAAAATAAATTTGTGAACTTTTTTTACTTTTTTTATATACCTACTTTGAAGTTGAGTCATTAATTTTCAGATAATGATTGTAGAAGGAAGATAAACCAAAATATGTGTGTATAAATAAAAAAAAACAAAAAAAAATTTTTACCTTGTTTTATAAAGTATCCTCCCGACAAGTATTTCAGTGCGGACCTGTATTTGATCGTGAGGTCTCCTGTGAGGTCTTAAGTCACCTGATTCACGAGCCCGTTGTACTACATTAACAAAGGCACGAGGGGATGGTTGCACTCGATTGGGAAACCGATCCGCATAAACATGTGCCATTTTTTATTTCGTTTGAGCCACGCAACAGACACTATTCACACGCGACTGACACTGACTGTATGTATAACTGAACTGAATAAAAACTTGTAAAAACATCGTTCCAAATTCTTTCGCTTTTTTGTTTCCGATGCGATGAACCGATAAGGTGGATTATATCCGTTGTTGCCAAACACGAGCACATGATATTATGATTGAGACAGGGCGGTACTCAAACTTCCAAAGGGCTATAACTTTGTTACTTTAATTTTACCAGAAAAATGGTAAAGGAAAAAAACATTTCTTTTGATCAGATCTACTCACTGTTAAAATAAATGACTCAACTTCGAAGTCCCTGTATATGTGATTTTCCAGCCTATCATCCATCTCTTCCAAATATTATTCAGATCAGCCATTTTGGCGTGATTGAGTGACAAACATCCACACTTTGTCATTTTATAATATTAGTAGGGATTTAAATATTTGAACATACCTGTATCTATCAACAAACTGATGAAACTTCATCCTAACTGGGTAACCGGACTGTCTAATTTTGATCGTATCGAGCATGCCAGAGTACCTCAACTGTTCCAAAACAGTTGGCATGTCAAACTTCATCGGAGCCTTGTCATTATTGGGCTTAATGCATCTGATGAACCACGGGTTACACTTTGACATAGACTCCAGCAGTTGGTGCAAACTGTCGCTGAACCTTGCTGCAACTGAAATGCAGCACGTACAAACGATTAAAATGCAATTTTACATGAATCGTTAAATGCTTAACTGTGGCTTTTGGTGATAAACGGTAGATGAGTATAGGTACATGGAGAACAATTATGATAAACTATCGTTTTCCACGAATTAGATATCTTTACGATGGACAGTAAAAGTGGCAGTAGACATTATATTTTTCCTTGTATCAATGAATGTGCAACGGGTTAACTGGAGCAGAAGTCAAACTTCTATATCTTTGCCTTTAAAGCTCTTGGAAAATCGTTGTTATTTTGGAGAACCCCTTACAAGCTGCTTGTATCCAACTAACGTCAAAAGGTCAAGGAATTGTTACTTCGCGATGAAAACAGTCTGTAGTTCTGAATTGTTCCAACTTGCAGTTAAAAAGTAGCCCAAAATTTATCGATACTCGACACATAGGATGATATTATGAAGTCTTCAATAGTGATAGGTGTAATCTCTTACCTGTCGGAGTCCTGGGTTTCATAGTAACAAATCTGCCATTGGTGCCTCTGGGCAGTGTTTTGGTTTGAGCATTGTTAACTAGAGGTTTGGCAATGGCACTAACTAAGGGGTCTTTACTTGAAGCTAATAATTCAATGACATCTGGCCTCAACGCGTCTCTATTTTTGTCTAAAAATCCATCTACTGAGTACCAAACTTGCCCAGCAAAGTGACGAATCTGCAAAATAAGATAAGAAGGAGCATGAATAAAGCAAAAGTCGAAATTGTACTATTTTATGACATGATGAAGGGGCTCCATTTTATGAAAAGGCATTAAAAAAGGAGTTATGTATGGTTCCAGCGGAAGTGATCTTATCCTATAGAATGGTGTCGACGGAGGCGTTGCTGATGGTGGCTGGAATCCTGCCAATTGATTTGCTGGAAAGATACGCCCTCTATAAGATATGGGTGCACGAGTTAAAAATGATGAAAAGGACATTAAGTGACAGCGATGATGGGATTCGACTAGCCATGAAGCATGGACTAGGGATTTCATTTCAGATACTAAGGTCTGGATTATCAGACGATCTGTGCAGATTTCTATACTGCACAGTTCCTTACGGTACATGGTCGCCTTTGAAGGCGAATAGAAAAGAAGGAACACGCAAACTGCTCGTATTGTTGTGACGAGGAGGATACTCGATGTGGATAGATTGAATTCAGAAACGGCTGGTAATAATGACTCTCAGCGAGAGGCTCACTGCTGACATCTCTGCCAAGCATGTAAGCGAGGGCAAACAGGTTGAAGTTCAACTTATAGTAAGCCGAATGATACTGAGCATGATATGTGTCAGAGAGGGAATTCACCAATAGGTATTTCTGTCTAATCCATATGCACATAGACAAGAGATGTTGACATACACTTCCGTGGTGGAATGCATGGCGGACGACTTAGGGCTCTTAGTGAGTATGCCATATTTAGATAAACTCACACTTCGGACAGAAAAGACTGACAGAAGGCATCTGTCGAGCTTCTCCGCCCGAGACTGGCTATGAAAACTTTCTTATGTCAAAAAAATTCATGAAAAGTTTTACCAAGTAAGAGCAAATACAGTCTACAATAACAAAATGATAAAATGAACCAATCTGATTCAATAATAACATATTGAGAAAAAACTTACGGATTAGGCAAAAAGAACAAAAAATCCTAAACGTAATTCAAATACTTCTAGAATGTATAAGGTTAATTTGATTTCTTGATTTCTGTTATCAGCGTACTTACGCCAAATTCTCTGCCACCTACTCTAGGCCTACAGTAGTGCTCATTCAGTGCATGGTTATAGTGGCACTTTTCCAAGAAAGATGAGTCAGAAGCCTTGGGGAAGTTACTCTCGTCATCTAGAAGATGCAAGATACCAACTGGCTTCTTTCCTAGTAGATGTATTACGGGCGTATTGTCAGTCCAGTTAAGTGGGGTCCAGTCTAGCCTCTCCTTTGCATACTCTTGTTGTTCTGGAAATATAAAATTCGTGTGTTATCAGCTAAAGATTAACGAACACGAAGGTGTAAAATGCAAACTTGTTGTTGTTGTTGATGAAGAGTTATTTAGCATTAATGCTACAATGTCAATTTTGTATAATGGTTCGGTTACATTTTTTGTAATTTTACATTCTTGTCTATTAAAATTAAAATTACGTCAGTATGAATTTTGATTATTCATAAAGTGATTTTTTAATTTCACCTTAAACATTTTTGAATTCGAACTCTGTTTAATATCATTATTCAATTTATTAAATTCTCCTTTTGAAATATAGATTTACTAGTTATGCTACTATTACATTTTCGCACATGAAAATCTATGCTTAATTTTGTGGAGTTCTCAAAATGTGGAGGTAATAAACGATTTTTTAATTCGAATAGACGAGAACTAAATAATATATGAAGTTCTTCACATCCAACCACTGCAGTTCTTCTAGCATAGACTTAATCCTAGCATATTTGTTTTTATTTAAAATGATCTCATAGCTTTATTTTGTAGAATTTGTAATTTTGCACGTTAGTTTTTATTTGCTGTAAACAAGATGGTTGAACAATATAAAAAATGGGGAAGAATTGTAGTGTTATACACAATTTTTTTGGAATACATGCTAAGATTATGGGAAACTATAGAAGTAATTTATTCGAAATTTTTGAAATAAGGTATTCATAATGTTCGTGAAACAGTAGCTTACTATCCACATGTATACCAAAATATTTAAATGACTGGATTACTTCAATTTTTTCATCATTAATCATGAGCCTAAGTGTATTGTCACCTAAATGTTTCCCTATTGACATACATTTTGTTTTATTAGTCTTTAATTTAAGTTTATTGACATCTAACCAATTCAGAATTTTTTCAATATCACTATTTAACAGTTCTAAAGTAGAGTTAAATGCTTATGTGCTATATATATATATATATATATATATATATATATATATAAGTGTATCGTCCGCAAATTCTTGAATTTTGCAGTGTTCTAAAATATCAGAGATATCATTTATCTGAACAATAAATAGTAACGGCCCTAATTTACTCCCATGTGAACACTTGATATAATATTTCCAACTTTAATATTTTGACTTCTATTTACTAAATAATTTTGTAAAATGTGTATCCTTTAAAGCCATTGTGACGCAATTTCATTAACAATATTTCCCTATCTATAGTCTTAAATGCCCTTTTGAAGTTTAAAAATTTTGTTACAATATATTCTTCCTACTTCTTCTCCAGTTTTCCACCACCATTTAGATTGCCGTTTCTGTGGAACATTTTTTTCTTAATCTATCTTGATTGCTTATAAAAATTTTGGTTTCTTCAATGAATTCTATGGTTTTTTTGTATAATATCCCTTCGAATAGCTTCTCGACATCGGGCAAGACATTTATCGGTCGCATATTTCTATACAGCTGAGAATTTTGAACTTTTGGCACAGGAGTAATGGTGGAACACTTTAATATTGATGGTAATTCACCATGTACTAAACAATGATTCACCAATAATTATAATTTCTCTCCAATTACAATGAAACAATCATTTAGAATATTTTTTGAGAGATTCTCACTTGGATTTTTATTAGATTTCAATTTTGAGTTAGCTTTTCTTAGATTGTTGATGTTAATTGTCCTAAATTGCTTGCTTTCTGACATACTTGTCATGGACATAAGTTTGGATCACCATCATCAATCGTCTTCACTATTTCATTTACACTTTCTATAAAATAAGTGTTCATTCTTTCCGCTATAATTAATTTGTCTGTCACTACCCCATCTTCGAAACGCATTTTAGATAATTCAGTCTTTCTATTGGGAGAAACAATATTCTTTAATGTTTTCCACATCATTTTAGAATTTCTTTTATTGTTACCGATCTTCTTATCATAGTACTCTTTCTTTTCCCTCCTGAGAACTGCTACACACTCATTTCTTGATTTTGTATATTGTTTCCAATTATTTTCACTTTGGGTTGTTCAAAATTTTCTGTAGTTGTTATCGCGTTTTAACTTAAACTTCTTGAATATCTGTAAAAACCAGGGTGTTGGGTTCACTCTTTCATATATTATTTTCTTGACCATAGCTTCACCAATATATTTATCCATTTTTTTGTGTTTTTGTGTTGTAAAAGTGTTTCTCGTAATTTTGTGAATTCAATGACTGTAATTTCGTTCATTATATTTTCATTGAACATATTTCCCACTTCGAAATATATTCATGAGTGATCACTTATCTTTGGGGTATGCTTAGCTTCAGCAATTAGATTTTGTCATTAGTTATGAGCAAATCTATTTTTGTTTTGGAAAAGTTCCTTGTATAGTAATTTATTTTTTGCCATAATCCATGGAAGTTTAGTACTTATTTAAATTTTGTAACATAGAAATCTTTACTGTCAAAATTTATGTTGAAGTCTCCTAAATGTACATTTGTGCAATTCCTGTAATAATGTTCTTCACATATACTTTCAAAAAATTCAATAAATCGATTGACGCTTCCACTTGGAGATCGGTAATAAAAATACAGATTGTAATTTTTTTATCCTTATTTCCAGATTGATGTACCACCACTGATATTCAACAACTTCAATGTTCTGTACTTTGACTTCCATGCTATATAGTGTGTATATCAACATACCACCTGTATGCTTCGAAACAGAGTTTACTCTTACAACTTGATAGCCGTGAATATCGATCTCTCTCTCTCAATATCTCTACCATAAATGAAATGAACATTGCTTCTATAAATCGTAAATAACATTACCTGTATTATTGTCGAAACTATAAAGTTATATTATCTGAAAATGTATATCACGTCGTATTGGAAGTTTAGTAAAAAAATTATATTCAGGTAGCAACTTACCAATTTTAAAAACATGCTTATTGAAATACAGTTGTAGTGACTCAGATGCAAAGTTGATACAAAGTTGTTCAAATGAGTTGTCGTTAAGGTTTTCAAAACCAAAAATATCTAATATGGATATCCTGGCAGCGTCATGCAGGCCACCTCTTTGGACGATTGAATTTACTCTTGACACTAGCCTGTAACAAAATATCAGATAAGTTGATGCGTGGAAGGTGGTTACGCTTATATATTGAGATGTATACAAGGTAATTCAGAAGCATAAGCATGAAGCAGATTAAAAAATAACACGAAGAATTTACATAAACATGGGTGTCAAAATGTTTACAGAGATACAGGGTGTTAACACTAAACAGACCAACATCTAATACGTACATATTGTCGTAACAAGTTTTACTCAAATTAAACAGAATACAAGTAGAATATTTACTTTATATAATTAGTAGAAACAATTATGAAGCCAAATGTGCAAAAGCGATAACATGATATGGTTATTTCTAATCCAACTGTTTATAGCCGGTCTTTTGGCCGGTTTAGTGTTAAAATCATCATTTTGAAATCGGAAAGAATATATGTTCTAAGAGCGAGTGAGTAAAAATATCAAATTTTGTACATGAAGTAGGGACGCCAGAGCCAATAGCGTAGAAATTAGGAAATGTCGATCAATATATACTAAGTGACATACAAATCCGAACACCCAGTTTAAATGGTTTTATTTTAATAAAAGTTGGTGAATGTATTTATCTTACTGTAAATAACAAGTGAAAAAATTTTCAGCCTTATCAGTTTGACATTCCGGTTTTTATACTGCTTTTTTTTAATTCACTAACGCTCTAAAAATGAATATTTCAGCCACAGTAAAGAATCAACGTTGGCGGATTTTGGTTCTTGACATCCTTTACGATCGGTTACGATGCCTAGAGTACGGAGACCTGTACGATTTCGTCAACTTAGTGAGTTTGATAGGGGCCGTATAGTGGGACTTCGGGAAGCTGGACTTTCTTTTTGGGCAATTGCAGTTAGAGTGCAAAGAAGTGTAGACACTGTGGTTAGGTGTTGTCAGGCATGGCTTCGAAACAGACCGTGAAGATCGCCGCCTAAGATTATTGGCCTTAAGGGACCGTTTCTCCACTACCAGGTCCATTGCAAATGAATGGTTTGCAGAACACGGAAGACCTATTGGCATGCGAAGTGTTTACCGACGAATGAGAAGTTTTGGCTTGTTTTCATACCGGCCACACTGGGTCCTCCCTTTAACTCGAGAACACCGACGTAATCACCTTGAGTGGTGCAGACAACGGTCACTCTGGGATCACGAATGGAACGGTATTGTCTTTAGTGACGAGTCCCGATTTTGTTTAGGCATGCACGATGGTCGTGCCAGGGTTAGAAGGCGACGTGGTGAAAGGAGGAATCCACAGTTTTTTGTTGAAAGACATGTTCATCACACTGTTGGAGTTATGGTTTGGGGTGCTATAGCTTATGGTTCCAGGTCACCTTTAATCTTCATCAGAGGTAACATGAACGCGCAGCGTTATATCCACGAAGTTCTAAAACCCCATCTTTTACCCTATATTGACACCCTGGCAGATCCAACTTCCCAACAAGATAATGCCCGACCATATGTTGCAAGAGTCACAATAGACTTCTTTCAACATAATGATGTCACATTGTTACCATGGCCACCAAGATCTGCCGACTTATCCCTAATTTTTGTCAGACTACCCTTTTTAGAGAAAAATATTTGAGGTGAAATCGTTTGATGCGTAGAATTTTAACAAGAATTTTACAGTTATGATGCGGTTGGCTTTATGGTTCAGTACCAAACAATAACATACGTTTAAGATATGTTAATTATTCTGCAATCTTATTAATATTTCAGCTATACAAATTCATCTATGTATATATTATTATGATAATCCTAAGCTTTCATAGTGGAATATATAAAGTGAACTCGATTAACATATTCATGTTGAACAAGGTATCGTTACTTCAGCACCTGTTATGGAGGTTGCGCAGGAATGTAACCCTGATTTGAATACTTCTCGGATACTGTTTCATGGACTCAAAAACTAGTTCAATATGCATCAATCCGAAAAAAGCGGTTACGACCTCAAACGTGGTTAACAAATAACAATATCTACAATTATACAATTTTTCATATAAAGATAACTGAATCGTGCTGAGTGCTCGTATGCTTTGTCTTTACCAGATGTACATATTATTTCACATTGTAAAGTACAACAGACTATGGCCAAAAACCTAGTCGAGGTTAAAATTCGAAATCAATCGCAAAGGATATGATAAAGACTGAGCAATAGCTACTTCACGTAACTCCTATTCATTCAACTACAATCGACTAATAATGGCAACTACCATCTTCAAGCTGAATGCACTACCACACAACTGACACTGATAGGGATTCACTACTTGACCTGTTTTTCAAGTATTAGACATTAGGAATCTGGTATCAAGTCAAGAAGTTTTAACGTCTGTCTGTCCAATGCTTGAAAATTCAAGTAGCCTTGATATTACTTTCGTCATTTAAAGACGAGTAGATTATAAATAAACAACGGCAAGACTTTATTTGTCACAAGTTTCAGAGAAAGCAATACATATTGAACAAAGTAATTTGTTCAACGATAAAGTGTCAACTGACCACAATCTTATATGATAACTATTTTCAAGCTTTGCTTGTTATACATGCACCATAGCTAAAAATGTATGGACATTATATTTTGTTCGTGTAAAAAAAAACATAGAATTAGTTGTTTAATTTTAATTTGTTTTTATATTTATATGAAGCCTGTGTATCTGTGTTGTGTGCCCACGCTATATAAAGATATACTTCTCATAGATGGCGCTGCGTGGCCCAAAAGCCCCTGTTCTTACGCCGCCCTGATGTGTTCTTCCTACCGATTTTGTCCTTGAATCTATCGAATTTCAACGACACTACCTACCGATTTCGTGTTTTTTTGTTTGGCAATGGTGTTTGCATGCACCATTTGAGATGGCTGTGTACACGGCGCGGCGTCTCGTGACAATTTGCGATCTTCTACGTGATTTTTTGCATTAAAATACAAAATACGGTTACCGGTTGTACAAATGAATATCACTGAAGGTCTTTAGTAGAACAAAAATATAATTTGCCACCAAGTATCAAGTAGAATGGAAATGCTTGACCTCAGGTCAAGTAGAATAATAAAAGAACAAGTCAAGCCAAGCATTTACGTTTCAAGTAATTTTATTTTCAAGTCAATTATCTTATGAAAATATCAAGCTACTTGACTTGATGAATACCTAATCACTAATCCGAAATTTAACGTCAGCTGGTAGTATTCTGAGTACTTGGTACTCCTCTGAGTAATAGTAGGACACCTGTGAGGTGGATGCCGTTGTTTGGCTTGACAAAATAGCGAACAATGTCATTCAGAGGCATCGCGAAACTGGGGTTTCTTGCTGTCGTACATAGGAGTCGCTGGTACGGCGGTTAGCGAAACTACTCGTGGCGTGTCACCATTATTTTTCGCACATCACAATATTGAGGTTCCCAATAAACCTTATATTCTACCGTTTGCTTTCCGCCACCTTTCTTCAAATCATTAGTCGTACACAATACTGATGATTGTTAAAAAGCATGAAACAACATTGTATTTGATTGGTTAAGGTCACAGAGACGAATAGCAGTCAAATCCTATTCAGCCTTACAAATACTGACTTACCAATTAAACAAAGCCGAGTACAGCGCTTTTGCAAAAGCATCTCTGGCATCCAACGCTTGGTCGATAGTCAACGGTGAGTGGACTCTTTCTGCTCGAGCTTCGGTGATCCTGGACGTGAGCGCTCGTTGCAGGCCAGAGGCGGAAATTTGTAAAAGATGCGCTGCCCACTTGATTTCTACATCGGAGCCTACCTCGACTCCTTCTTGACCGTGCCTATAAACATCAAATAATCAAATGGGTGTCATTGTATGCTCATTTGTTTCTCTGAAGGACCCCTGCCATGATTAGGAAATTCTGCATATGATTTGTGGACCAGACGCGAGAGGCGAGTCAGGTATGAGTGGAGGATTGTTTGGTGACATCTAACAGTGGCGTACGTGAACTGATTGCAATTTTTACAAGAACAACGATTAAAGTCAACCATAGAAGTACAATGATTTCGTGTTGACGTCGACATTCGTGAAGACTCGTTAAGAATATTAATCAACATATTGACGTCACCATGAATTATATCAAATGACATTGAACAAACGTGTGCTGCAGGATACTGGGATATGTTTTATTTCATATTCGCTGGTTAAGATTCAAGTGCAGGTGGTGTTTGGTTTGCTGCTTAAACACTGTAGGTAGTTGATAATATAATCTAATACTCCTAAAAACAATTCGTAAAACTGTACCATCTTCATGTTCACCAAGTAACGAACTACAAACCTCTATCTCAACACGTCATCGGCATTTGGCTTTAGAAAACAATTTTCAGATCTATTTATGTGATTGAAGTCATTACTTCTCGTCATTTAAAGACCAGTTTCTATATCATTTTCCGTGTTTAGGCTGCATGGAATCACTGCTATCTGCACTGTTATGGTAAATGTATGGCCGACATCTGCCTAATTCACGACGTCGAACTACCATCATTATTCCAACGCCATAAAGCGATCTTTGAATAACCTTTATCTACTATTGTACAAAAATATCAGTAGAAGGAATTATCTACTACATCGGTATACGATATACAGTTTAGTTATCGTTCAAAAAATTACAAGGATCATTCATTCAGTGAGAACCGCTTTGTAATGGAGAGGAACTCTTACGAAAATAAATTATATTACAAACTAAAATATGAAAATGTCATAATTTTCTAAACGCTGTCCACCAAGAAATTCCTTATGTTGTAGTAAAAGATGAAACTCTAATGGTGCTAAGTCAGGGCTGTATTATGGACGATCCAGTAATTCCCAACAAAACTTGTTCAGTTGCGTCTGTGTTCGTGCCGCAACGTGATGTCGAGCATTGTCGTGAAGCAGTACGACATTGCTAGAGAGCAGGCCCCGCCGGCGGTTTCGAATAGTGCGCCTGCTAGTGAATTTCAAGAGGATGGACTTTTTTGCATTTAAAAACCGAACTACAGAGCGCACTTCACAATGAGCGGGTTCATTTGTCGACATTGAGCCAAACAAAACAGTATAACCACAGAATTAAGACCGATAGACATCTGAAACGTAACGGCGGCGTAGTGTACTGGCCAAGAGTGTCTGAGGTTGCACGGGCACCTCGTAACAGCATGCGCGGGCACGCTGCGCAATCTGTTCTTACTTTAAAAATTTCCTCGTATTAGGCTAATAGTAGGTTAGGTAAAATTGCTTTTTGTAAATCGACTGCCATTTTGGAATATGGACTACCGAGTTATATGCCTACAGATTTTCGTAACTTCGATAAGCCTATAGCCGAGTCACTATTTGCATGATACATTGCTTTTGGAATTGAATTATACATGTATGTTTTCTTGCACCACAACGAAAGCGGTTTTTTTCACGTCACGAAGCGCGCCAATGGTTTCCTTTATAGTAAAGCAAGACAAATTTGAGTGAAAGAAGAGTTTCGGCAAGAGAAGTTCTGACTGACTCCATAGTCTCTACGTGTCGATACGTCACTGAGACTAGTTAGTTAGTGGTTCCTTTATTCATTTATCAAAACGGGAAAACTGAGAATCATGAAAATAAATATTAATGTGGAACCACGTTAGTTGTATACAAATTTGAATAAAATTATACATTGGTCAATTAATAATTTCCATATTTACCCATATTTGGTAAGTCATACTATCGTGCGAGTAACTCAATTGCTTCATCGTGCCAAATCATGTGTGCCAACATGTGGAAATAAATGTAATACTGTTAGCTCTACAATATTTAAACAATCGTACAGAACAGTTTAAGACTCCAGATGATAATGATACTGCAGTTTTAGTAGCAATATTTTTTCAGGAACGTTCTAACTTATTCCTTCAGATTCAAAAATATGCAAAGGGTTTATCTTAATACGTCCAGTATTTTGCTACACGATTCGTTAGGTGCTCTTAAGACAAAAAGTTCATATTAGAATCGACCCGGCTGGAGTTCGTTTCCGAGATACAAGGTGTAAATTTCTACGGAATTGACGAGACTGACAGGGATGAAACGTGAATAATCTCCTAGTACACTGGATACAATTTTATATGTCAAGCTTATGTATCTCACTCCAAAGTAGAACTGATTGTTCTCCAGAAAGAGTAGTCTGAGAGAATTTTTTCGAGAAAGGTGCAGTTTTTATGACGGTTATTTAGTTTTAGGCAATCGTTATGCGATTAGTGCTACAAGCACAAAACCATAAGTCACTAAATACCTTAAGCAAATTCGAAGATATTTTTATTTGAAATTATAGCGTTAACACCCTGAGTCTTGAAAATGAAACACTCGTGGGCCCATCTTTATATGACGTGTTTTGCTTTAAGTGCACGTAAGGAACTATCCTGTGAAATATTATTTCGAAACGCCACGTATGACACTGGAAAACTACTATCCATAGAATCCAGAGATCGGCGAGTCTCAAAGACTGATGCGTCAATATTACTTTCTTTTGTACTTTTATTTTCCAGTAGAAATATCTAACGTCTGTTAGAGTACACTAATTAAAAACGTACAGTACGGTTGAGGAAGTATGAAACTTACCTCAGTTGTCTCCTGTGAAAATATACGTTTCCTAGATGCAGAACCGAAGCAAGAATCTTGATAATACCCTCTTGTTCTGTTTCGCTAACTCCAAGTACCTCCATCGCTCTCGTTAAAGCTGCCCAGTCTGCTCCGGAACCTGAATGTCCAGGAGCACAGTCGCCACCACCTAAAAAAAAGATTACCGATATATCCGCCAATTCGCCCATTCAGGGAACTACAGCGCTTGAAATACTTAATTTCAATGAGCCTGTAAAGTCAATGTAAAGCGGACTACCGAGGCAGCGGTTTATGTTCAATAGCATTAGCCAGCTTTGGGAGTTCACAATATTTAAACGAAAATCTATGAAATATGACAGCCGAGTAAAGTTCGCTATCAAACCGACAAAGCTTTCTCATGGGTACTGCTATCCATCCCAAAAGCGATGCACCACTTTACTCTGGCTGAACGCGCTCGTCTATTTGATGCAAATAACCACCGATATAAAGCTCTGTCAGAGGCACTGTTACGATATTTTCAAAGGTTTGCAGATTTCTGTGCGAAACAGGTCAAAACCCCGAATGGAAGATGCAGGAAACAAACGAGCGAATGTAAGTCCCCCTTTATCTTAAAATTTTGTTCATCACAAAATTAAGCGTCTCTCAAGTTTTGTTACTCAAGGTATTAGCACAAACTACTTAGTACTCACTTAGCAGATTTCCCATCTGACCTAATATTTCAATACACGTATTCTAACACTAGTGATAATCAAAGTGTTGTTGTTTGGTTTCAAGCAATGGTTTGCGCATTATAATAACAGGCATCCTTTTGATTTTTATTTGTTTACAATGACAACGTTGAGGGTACTGAGGGGCCACTGTAAAAACGTTGCTTTTTTACTATTTTTGTTGACTGTAAATTTATTTATTTATATAACTTCTTAGAAGACGCTTCCGAAAGTTCTGCTCGTTCCAAATCTTTGAGATACTCAAACCAAGTTTTGCTGTTTCGGCGAACCTATTGGCATTTTACTTTAAATCACTTACACGAAAAGTCTGTTCCGATAGCAGTAAAAAGTATAATACTCCTCCCCATACTTGCTTTATTTGGCATATTTTTTTTAAAGTAGGATATTGGCAAAGCAAATAACACCGCGGAACTGATTGAAACAGCAACTGAATATTAAAATTTTTAACACTTGCACGAACAACTTACTTTCATATTATACAAAAATGCAAATGTGCACTGGGAGCTTGCACAGATACTTATGCAAAAACTTACGCTTGGAAAGCGAAATTGCGTGAACTAACATACCCGAACAAATTACCTTCTTGCAAATGCCATGCACACAAATTATTAACTGTCTGAGCATTAAAATGAAAAATGAACTTCCTTAATCATTGCATTTAATTTCTTGAACACACTTGAAAAATTATCCGTGTGGTTGGGTGAGCAATTTGTCGTTATTTAACAAGCCACTGTTGATCTCATAAGAAGTGCCTCTCTGTCATTTACTTGGAAGTCAAAAGTATTGAAGGAACCGTCATTATTTTGATAATCAAACTAATCTCAAAGTATGAAACTACGTATAAAAGGAGTGAAAAGAAGTCATACGAGTATTTTGCTGAGTGCTTCCTAGTTTACCAATAAAATAACTATCATCGTTATTGAAATTAAAATTAGAAACAAACCCGAGTTTCCGAACTGCCTGGCTTTTTCTTATCCCAGGCATCTGCATTGACTGGTACGACTGTCAGAAAAGCATGCTAATCTTAGATCAGTTGCTTTTTCCTAATTTTTGGTCATGATTCTACTTCATACGATAGTATGAGTTGATCGTAATAAAGGTAAGAGAAATGACCTGTGTCACGTCGGCAGAGACAGTGATATTAACCAGAGGAAAATACTGCTTAAAATTCTTCGGGTGGCAACTTGCCTGCTACTTAAAATTCCTAAACATACTAAATCTAAAGATTATATAATCAAATCCATTAGAAATCACCTGTTGTCCAACATACCTAAGTATTTTATATGCTTCTTCCTTAAAGCCTACACAAATTATTAATTATGAGTGTTTTAAATGTCTGTCCGGCTACCCAAGCGTAATAGTATAAACATATTAGGCGAATATACCCCTAGATTGCAAAATAATTATAAAGTCTGGTTTTATTGCAATGTTCAAAGGGTATTCAAAACATTGACGCGAAAGTTGAATGTTAAAAAATTAGGAAAAGTATCTACATACGGTTGGTTAACAGTTATAAATCGTATGTGATAAGTAGCTGCATTTTTTTCTGATTTTTTGAGTGATTTCTCGACACGGTCGCTGCAGGAATGCTGCAGGAATTTGCTAGCTGTACAGCTGGAATGTGGAAACGTTGCCGCTCTTCCTAGAATATCCTCAACGATATGAGTAGCGCGGGTGGTGAATCGAAAAGGACGACTTCGCGTTCAGTGAATTCGGCTTGTGAGTGCGCCAGTTTTGCTCAAATTCTTTCCGATGTTAAGAAGAAGCTAGATCAGTGCTACAAGATCATCAATGGTCAGAACGCAAAAATTGAGGAGCTCTCAGTAACTGTATTGGAACTCAGCAAGAAACTGGACGACAGAGATGGGATTGCAAAAGCATCTTGTCCGGTAAATGCAACTGTATCTTACAGTGACATAGTGAAAGCTGCTCCACCAAAAGAGCATGTACTATTGGTGAAACCTGCAAACGATGCGGAGGGTGATTCACTGAAACAGAAGCTTCTTACTAAAATAAATCCTGAATATCTACAGGTTGGTTTGCAGATCCATAAGGTAGGCAGTAACGGTGATATTGTTTTAAAATGTGACAATCAGAAATCATTGGAAAAAGTGAAAGCATCAATAGAATCCCAGATGGCTGGCAATTGTTCTGTTATGTTACCCAAAATGCGGAATCCACGTATAAAAGTTACAGGTGCTAGCAGTGAATTGTTCGAAACTGATAACAATGTCCTAAAAAGTAAAATTATCAATCAGAATAGTGGTTTGTTAAGCCATCAAGAACATACCTTCAATATTGTTTTTAAGTATCCTATAAAAAATGGAAAGTTTGATTTTATTGCAGATGTAGATCCGTTGTCTTATCATTCGATTATTAAAGAGGGTAAATTAAATATTGGGTGGAACAGGTGTCATGCGTATGAGCATATATCAGTAGTTCGTTGCTATAAGTGCTGTGAATATGGGCATATTCAAACAAGTTGTAGAAATCAAACAGTCTGTCCTCTTTGCTCTGGTAGCCATGATATGAAGCATTGCAAAAACAATTCACGACGTTGCATTAATTGTGCAAATGCCAGTAATAAACAGAATAAAAGCCTTGATATGTATCATGCTGTGTGGGATAGCAAATGTATATGCCTACAAAAAACTCAGGACTTTATTCGAAGTAAAACCAACTACTCCATATAGTTTTTTGCTCTTGTGTCTTGGTTATCCGGTTTTATTTTTTATTATTTTTTTTTACATCTTTTAATCCACACAACAAATACATTTTTTCTATCCTCTTTTGTTATTTTCTTCTGTGTCTGATTTTATTACTTTTTTCTATTTGGAAATTAGTTATAATACTGTGATTTACTTTACATGTCTGTTTTATCTGATTTCGACATTATCGAGAACGAGGAGCATAATTTAATGATAGCATGCCTAAATGTGAGATCATTAACTAGTTCACTTTGTGATCTCAAAGAATATATACTATCACAAAATTTTGATGTCATCGGCTTAACTGAAACGTGGCTGAAGCCAAGTATTATTGATTCAAGTGTTCATATTCCAGGTTATCAGCTATTCAGATCTGATAGGCAAGACAGGCGAGGTGGGGGAGTTGCTTTGTACGTTAGGTTAGGACTTAGGTGCTCTTTTCTACAAGTGTCTCAGAATGATGGTTTTGAACAACTCTGGATCAAGATCAAGGTTAATAAAAAAACAATCAATGTTGGAGTTATATATAAGCCTCCTGATGTTCACTACAACTCGCTGACATCGCTAGAAGAGATGCTAGCATCTCTTCTTCCTACATCCGAGGATATTATTGGCATGGGTGATTTGAATATCAATTTCCATAATACTAATAGCCCAGATTTTAAATTCGTATCAACATTTATCCAGGATCTTAATTTCAAACAAATTGTGAACGAAAAGACAAGAGTAACTAACAATAGTGGCAGCCTTATAGATGTTGTTTTTGTGAACAGAGAACTAAGCATTACTAAAACAGGTCTCGTCTGTCTCCCCACCATTTCTGACCACAGTTTGGTATATTTCTGCATTGAATGTAAAAAAAATGTTAGGTGTCCGAAATATGTACTTACTAGAGACATAAGAAACATCGATCACTCCTTATTAAAAGAAGTTGCATCGTCTCTCTATTGGTTAGATGTAGTCCATTTAGAAAGCATTGAAGACAAGTTGCGATATTTTTATGAATTGGTTGAAAAGGTACTCAACGTTTGTGCTCCTTTCAAAACCAAAAAGATTACCAAAGCACGGTATCCTTGGATTACTACTAATATCAAATTTATGATGCGACTGCGAAATAAGGCTTATTCTCAATATATTAAAGCAGTAAAGAACAAGTATCCCAGTGAAATAATAGCTTCAAAATGGATATATTATAAACAGCTTAGAAATCTTGTCACAGCCTCTTTCAGGAGGGAAAAGAAAGCTTACATTGAATATAAACTGAGACAAAGCAACAATAGTCGAGAATGGTGGAATGCTATCAAAAACATTGGCGTTCATGGTTCTAAAAATGATAACCGGTGTTCAATACAGCCTGACATGCTTAATGATTATTTCATAGACTCTATTCCCGTCAATAAGGTTAATAACTACTTACGGACATTCTATAACACAAATCATCTTTCCCCTGCAGTTCAACCGTTTAGCTTTAAACTTGTTACTAAAGAAAGGGTTTTGGATATTTTTTCTAAAATTAAGTCATGTGCAAAGGGTCTGGATGGCCTAAACTTAGATCTTTTGATTCCCCTAATTCCATACTGTATCGATGCATTAACACACATTATAAATTTTTCACTAGAAAAAGGTGTCGTACCGAGCCTATGGAAAGCCGCTATGGTTAGACCTCTTGCAAAAATTGATGATCCGATAGCACCTGGTGATTTCAGGCCTATTAGTATACTGCCATTGCTATCTAAAATTCTGGAAAGAATTGTCTATGAGCAAATACTAGGACACATAAATAAAAACAGTTTGATTCCAAATGTTCAGTCGGGGTTTCGGAAAGGTCACAGTACGGTTACCACTTTGATAAACATATGTGATGACTATATCAGAGCTATGGATAAATCTTGTGTCACAACGTCAATTCTAGTTGATCTCAGCAAAGCTTTCGATTCTATCAATCATGAATTGCTTCTTGGTAAGCTGCATTATCTTGGATTTTCTGATAGTACTGTTACGTGGTTTAGGAGTTACTTGCATGAGCGGTCACAGCTAGTCAATGTAGGCGGCTGTATGTCCGATAAGCGTGCGATTTTGAAGGGGGTACCGCAGGGCTCCATACTTGGCCCAATTTTGTTTACTTTGTATACGTTCGATCTAAGTCGTGACATTAAATATTGTTCTATTCAGTCTTACGCTGACGATACCCAACTGTATTTGTCTTACCGTCCTTTCGATTTCCTGGAAGCAAACAGGAGAATGTCTTGTGATCTAGATCGTGTTGCAAAGTGGTATAACGATCACGGGTTACTTATCAATTCAAACAAATCTGCTGTCATAACTATTAAGTCCATACAAAGTAATTTCGATAGTAACTTGATAAAATTACACCTGGAAGGTGGAGACTTGCCTCATATAAAATCCGTGAAAAATTTAGGAGTAATAGTGGACGAACATCTCACGTTTCACGATCACGTTTCCAGGGTTGTGCAAAATTCATATGCTAAGCTCAAGACAATTTACAGTTATAAACATGTATTATCTAGTCAAACCAAGATCAAGCTTTGTAACTCTTTGATTCTCAGCAAAGTCGAATACGCTGATGCGGTGTATGGTCCATGCCTGACACAGTCGGAAGCTTATAGGATACAAAAAGTGCAAAATAGTTGTATCAGGTATTCATTAGGTGTTCCGAGAAGGGAACACATTACTAGATACATTAAGGATGTCAAGTGGCTCACGATGCGTCAGAGATGGATTGTACACTTGTTGGTCATAGTACAGACAGTCCTATTAACCAAATATCCAGCATATCTGAGCAGCAAACTCTCATTTAGAAGTCAGCATCACTCGGCGAACTTACGCTTTGTAGGTTATACCCTCGATATGCCCCCCCATAAATCAACACAATTCACAAAGTGCTTCTCATACATGGCGCCTTCCCTTTATAACTGTCTATCATCAGATCTGAAAAGTTTGAGTAACAATAATTTTAAAGTTAAAATAAAGCAATTTGTTCTCGATAATACCTAATTCTATACTAAGCTTTCATCTTGTAACTGCTGTGATTCTACATTAAGTGTCTGGTTGTGGTCTTTTTTTTTCATTATTTCTGTTTCAGTGAGTGTGTGAGTGAATGTGATTTAAATCTGTCTTCACATTTTACACACTATTATGTTGTATTTGTCATTTTTCAGTACTATATGTCTTGATCATTATTTTTTTGTATCTGTGATTTTTTTTTTATGTTTGTTAAACTTATGTAGCCCTGGTTGGTACCAAAAGCAGCTATTAGCTGATACACCCGCCAGGTAAAATAAAGGCATATTATTATTATTATTATTATTATTAAAAAAGGGATACACCAGTTTTTGTGGGAAAACTTTTTATTCAACAACAAAGAAGAGAAGAAGTGTGCGCGAAAACTTGTTTTTCGGGATTCAATCAAAAGTTTTGGAAGGAACGAAAACACTCTTCATGTAAGGTTGTTAGGTATTTTTCAAATTCGTAGGATTCGTACTTATATGTATAAGCACAACAAAAATGGAGTAGATTGGTCTAGCAGTTTTTGGGAAATTCTAACTGTTTATCCGAAAACACCTGTTTTCCGGCCATCACTACTAACTTATTGAGCAATATGCAGGCTTCGTTCAAAGGGCATTTTATAGCAAAATACAATATTTTACCTTGTCAATGTGAATCGCAAACCATTCCGGAAGATAAATGTTATTTTTGTGCAAAAAAGATGGGTTACGTTGTTTCTTCTAAACATTTCGTATTTGTGAGTTATTCGCACAAAAGATGAAAGACACATCCGCTTTGTTTTGAAATGTATATAGTAAATACGAAATGTTTGAATTTGTTTAGAAGAAAAAAACGTAACCTTTGTTCTTCGCATAAAAAAAACATTTAGCTTTCGGAATGGTTTGTGATTCATATCGGCAGGGTAAGCACGTATATTTTGCTATTGAATGCTCTTTGAACGAACCCTGTATATTCTCAATGAACTAGTAGTGATGGCCGGGAAACAGGTGTTTTCAGATAAATAATTAGGGATTCTCATAAAACTACTTGACCAATATAATCCAATTTTGTTGTTGTTATTTAGAAGTATGAATCCTACCAATTTGTAGTGCCAAACCCTGCATTTTGCCTCGTTTTTCGGCCATAATATTTTTGCTATTCGTTGGATCTTTTGACATGTGGTCTCATTTTGTAGATCTCATAAATACCTAAATATCTTGTATGAAAAGTTTTTTCGTTCATATCAACACTTTCGATTCAATCCCAAAACACGTTTTCTCATTCTTTGTTGTCAAATAAAAAGTTTGCCCACAGTCATTGATGTACCCATTTTATGCGTTCATGATTTAAATACCGCCTTGAACAACTTGCGCCAATAAAACCACACTTTACAATTATTTCGGGGAAATTTGCTAATATGATTAGACTATAAAGACTAGTTGGCTTTGAAACTTTTTGGGGCAGCTATATTCCCAGTAGAAGGACTACACCAAGTAGAACGTGTGGTCCGTGCAGTTACATTACTTGCCTCATACTTCTTAGTCTTAATATTGATCTATCGATTCATGTAAAGCTATCGTCTACCGTGTCATAAATATAACAATACAACAGATTTATGTTTTGCGTTGTAAATGTACGTATAGCTAATTGATTCTGCTCTAAGTTACGTCGACGTCATGCTTAAAATGAGTTTATATGGATCCACACTTAGTTTAGATCTAGGCTGGGATAACCACTCAAAAATAGTGAATCCCTATCAATATAACAACTATGTTAATGGATGACATGTGCGGAGACCTAAGTATGAAAATACTTATTTATGTACGAGTATATGCAAATCACTCCAACAGTGCTTTTTAGAAATGTGCCTCCCTAATTATATTTTGATCAGGTCAAGCTGGAATTCAGGACAATGAAAGTGACATATTAATGCTTTATTTCAACGTTAAGATAACAGTCCAATATTTCAAGTTGACGGAGGGGTGCCATCTTCCAAAATTTTTGTAAATGGAATGAGAAACCGTGTGATACTTTGCTTTGAAGATTCTTATATCCGTAGAATATAAAATTACATTGTTTCGAAATCGTGGGCTTGGAAAGCTGTCAAAGTTGAGCATTTTTGCATAATGGATCGTTTATAACTCAACAACTAATCATCAAAACGTTATAGTATGTATCAGTCTTCTACTTTTGGAAAGGTCTATCAGAATGCACGATAAAATATGGGATACTTATGCTAAAAAAGAGAGGTTTTGGGTGTGTCTTTTTTTGTTACATATTCGGATAGACCCTTCTAAGAGAACAAGGCTGATATAACATACACCATTTTGACAATTGTTAGTTAAGTTATAAGCGTCTCAATTTGAAAAAAAAACGCTGAATTTTGACAGCCTGCCACCTCGCCATTTTCAAATACAGTGACTTTGTATTCTTGGGTTATAACCTACCCACAAGGAGCTGAAGCTTCAAAATGAGGTATCGCGCAACTGGCGCCCAACGGCCATTAAAACTGCCAACTTACACTTTTACGCTTAAATATAGTATTATCCATCGATTTCATTATCCCATTTCAGGTTGCTGAGTTGATCCTTTCAAAAAATAAGTAGCAGAGGACCTTTTTAAAAAGCAGTGTATAATTAGAACTACAAAATAAAAGTACCTTGGTTCAAATAAAAATACTTCTCCGCTTCCACTAGACCATACTTCTGTCGTTCAGCTGTGTTCAGTCCACCAAGGAGCTCGTAGAATACGTGGTAATTCCGCTCCCCTGGAGCTTGCGTGACGATTCTTGACTTTTCTAACAAGTACTGGGTCATTTTGGCACCTGCAAAATTCAAAACGTATACGAAATATCAACATACAAAATATTCTGTCATGAAACTCATTATTTTAATAACACAACTCGACAATTCTGAGACAATCAGGCAAATATTCAGAAAATACACATTCTGTACCCTGCATTGTTCTATTTACGAGAAATGCTTGCCGCTGGGCAAGAAATTGTGGGAATGATGAAATTCAACATTGGGTATTCGGCAATATACCTAAAATTGGTATTTTTGTAAGAAAATGAGAATAACTAAAAATTTGAATTGGTGCATTTAACTACCTCACTCAAAAGGCGCAGACAGCAATCTAGCTTTCCTAGACATATTATAAGCGGCAATCGTATTTTATTCCCCATATTTTTCTGGCCGTTGGCTGAAACCGCATATGCAGAATTGACTGTTTACTGACTTGTCAGCCACATCGGTGGAATCTTTCAGAGTATCACAAAAATGACAATCTTATATTTAATTGGTCTTCCAACTTTGCTAGGTTTGCGCGGTGCCGTTTTTAAATCTGTAGTGGTGTCGCCCGATATCGGCGTGGTACACGAGCGTTCAGGCTGTTGTTGCAACACATTGCATGGTAGCGGAAGAAACAAATGAACGGTTGCCTGAAATACAGAGGAGGATATAAAATATACTGTTATCTGTTATTGGTACTTGGAAAAAGACCACCGAAGTGGCCAAAATGTCAGTAAACAATCAATTCTACATATTAACGGCAATAAAAAATTATCAGCCTGAAAACCACAGGATAAATTCAGATGTTGCATTATAATTCCATCTCATTAACGAAATTGTCGAAATTATCGATTGCTATAAAATTTTCAAATTATACGTGATGCTGCAGACAATTATTAACACTTTTCCGTGATGTCGATCCAAACCTCAAGATACTTTCGCTGATGCATAAGACTAAAGAAAATATTCAAGTGTAAACATAAATTGGTTCTGGTTGCATAGAAAGTGTTCCGTACATTTTTTGTTTTATCGATAAACGTATTTTGATTACATATTGATTAAAGATCAAATAATAGGAACGCCGGTGGGATTGAAGTATTAGGTTAAAATATCCATTTAATGAACTTAGCACAACAGTGCTTAATGATTGGAGCCACCTCGAGGAACACACATGATAATAAGCAACGATAAAGTTGTAATACCAACAAAGTTTATGTTTGTTGCAGAATGAACACAGTATCTATATGAGTGCTTAATCTGGTGTTTTGGCAGAAAAAAACTAAAAATAACTTCACCAAATTGTATCTGAAGATTTGAAAGGTTCATCATCATTTGTTCTTTTAACCCAGATACTACTACCGTCCTTTAAAGGCATTGCGATTCAAGGACTCTGTAAGGAGTTTCAGTAATTTGACAGAAGGTATCGCCACCGTGCTCTGTCAAAGAACATTAGAACTACCACCAATTACTACAGTTTAGTCCCATGCGTATCGCTTGAGCCATATACAGTGTGCTTCTACAAATAATGATCATGTAAGAGAGTAATATCTGGGTTAATAAAAGCAAAATAGGTATTTTCAAAGCACCAGGAGTGGATCTGAGATAACGCGCAGAACTCACTATGCGTCTACGGATTAAGAGTCTACTATTAGTTCTGTAAACCTAATTGATGACTGTAGATTTGTTAAGGTACACTGTTACTTCTTACCTATAATTGCTCCATTCTTGAAGTACACCTCCAGGTATTTTCCGAACCTGGAACTATTGTCATTCCTAGCTGTCCTTGCATTTCCAAATGCTTCCAAAAGAGGTGCAGCTTCCAAAATTTGTTCTGTGACTAGTGCTTGACCTCTTGGAGCAGACGGTGCTACAGCTGCAAGGTACTGCATCACCAATTTGGTAGATTCAGTCTTTCCTGAACCACTCTCACCACTTATCACGACGACCTGTGAAATAACCGGAAACTAGGGTCAGTATTTCATCTATATGTTTTCCTGATTGATAAGTGATACCACAGATAATAAAGATAAACTGTTCCGCCCGTTTTGGCTACCTCAGTGGCGTTTGAACAATTTCTACGTGAGTGAATTCCAAACAAAGATTTGCTCTAAAAAGAAGAAAAGGGGCAGAGTACATAGAAAGGCAGAATGGGTCACCTGTCTAGAGATAAAAGAGTTCACGTTATATCTCGAAATAAGAATACCTCAGACATTGGGTGCGAGACAGCCCTTTTTCTCTTAGAGTGTCTAAGATACGGACCAGTGTACTAAGATACATATTGCCGAGGAAGGTATAATTCGCGTTCTCAAAACACTCGTCCTCTTCAAAGCGATAATCAAATATGTTACTTGTATTGTCAGAAATTTTGTATTGGACATTGCTTAGAAAGTAACAGGCATATATGAGAAGGTGAATACTGGCCGCGACTCTGACTTGACCAATTCAAAACTTTTAGCACTTCCTTGATTGCTGCATAGCTAACTTCGCTGTTTTGCCTATACTTTTACAGGTACTTGAGCGTGGAAAATGATATTACTGGTTATAATGACGCATGTATTTTTTCAAGATATGCTTACAATCATGTAGAATGCAAGCTTTGTCGAAATTGAAAAATATGTATTCATTTAATGCTTAAAGTATAGTAGAGTGATAGACTTAACATCGGAACTCGCTTCCATCGAATGACTTTATGGTGGAATACGTTTGAAATACTATATGTTGATAGGTTTATTCATTAGGTTCATGCGCTTTTGATTTTGAATTACTTTTTTATACTTGCTTTCATGTATACGGTTATTCTTGTTAATATGATTGAACCGAACAGAAAAGTTCATGTGTAGTATTTTACGGCTTCATTACTGAGATGCAGTTCAAGTTAAATATCCTAATGCAACCTGAATATATTACTCTTGTTTGATTTAGAAACTATAACTTCAGCACCCTGTAGTTCGCATTTTGGATTTCTTTTTTATATAAGCGTATTTTTTAACAGGTCAAGTCAGCAAGCCGATATTCGTGGTCATGAAATTCATACTTGAATACTATATATATGTATATACACATAGTATAATTTGGTAGTTCACAGACAACTAGTGTGCCAGTTTGGGTATTTTCGAGTACTGATTCGTATGTCGTCAGGTTGTAGGTTAGGTATTTTGTGAGTTAGTTGACAGTTTTATTTCTAGAGTTTTAGGTAAATTTTGTGGTCTTCACATGTTAGTTAGTGGTTTACTAGACTAGAAATTCAAAAAATCCATCCCTAGCCCAAAAACGTCGTCGCATATACAACTGAAAGAGGGAAGGGTGTGGGACTTATTTATAAGAAAACAATAAATCACTCAATAGGGTAAGTCGAGAAAAGATGGACATAGAGGATAGACCCAGTCTCTTTCTGATTGGTGGCGCACATTGTACATTACTGTAGTCAGCGGCATCGTATGAGTTGGTTGTGGTGGCATTGTGGGCAAAACAAGATAAAAACGTAAGTAAAAGGATAATATAAAATAACCATAATGCAAAACTTTTGTGTTATGTTAATTAAATTGTAATTCTGACGGAAATACCCTGTATATCGCATTTTTTTTGCATAAATGTTCTGGATAGACTTTCTGAATGTAACCTAACCTCACATTTTTATCCACCGGTCGCATGGATTTTAGTAAACACGGTGGCCATCTATCCCATACAAAGAGGAAAGATAGCCATATGGCCATCTTTACCACGTTTTACTTATTTTTTTATTTTTTTTAAACCCATTAATTGTTTTCGTCTTGTTGGGAATATATTCGGAGTTACCCACTTTTCATATATTTTTTTAGAGAGTACGACCTTAAAAATGCTATGGCAGCAGTTAAAGATGGTTTAATGTCCGTTAGAAGAGCAAATTCCTCGCAAGACCTTGGAAACAAGGCTTAAACATAATAACGATAAAAAAGGGAAGCTGGGCCCTGATTCTTTGTTGGGTACTTCCAATGAGATGAGGTTGGTTAGACATATGAAAAATATGCAGAAAAACGGATTTGCCTTAACCAGACATGATGTGCGCAGGCTTGCTTACGAATTCACCAATAAATTAGGACTTAGGCACAAATTTAACCCTAACACCGAAATGACTGGACACGTCTGGCTGCAATCATTTCTGAGGCGAAACCCCACAATTACTATTAGGAAATCCGAAGGTCGTTCTCTCTTATGAACCGTGAGGTAGTAAAAAAATATTTTGATTTTTTGCAAAAGGCCTTGGAGGAAAATTAGTTATTTGACAAACCGATGAATATATTTAATATGGATGAATCAGGTCTCCAGCTGAACAATCGCCCCGATAAAGTTTTAGCTAAAAAAGGTTCAAAAAGTGTTTCCGCCATCACCTCTTCTGAGAAGGGAGAAACCATTACCTTAGTAACATGCTGCAGAGCGGAAGGCACATTCTTGCCCCCATCAGTCAATAAGTCAGCATACATGAGTTCACAAATTTTTTTGTCTTGGTTGAAGGAACACTTCATTCCCAGAAAACCAGAAGGAAAGACACTTCTATTACTAGATGGGCATACGTCTCATTCTACCTCTGTTGAAATGCTGGAGTATGCGAAAGAAAATGACATAATTTTGCTATGTTTTCCTAGTCAATGCACCCATTTCTTACAGCCATTAGATAGGGCTGTTATCAAGTCTGTTAAAAATGCATTTTATTCAAACTGCAGACTTTGGTTGAAGAGTCATCCTGGCAGGCGAATAACACGATACCAGTTTGGAGAATTATTATCTGATACCTGGGGAAAATCTGCAACTATTAATAATGCTGTTAGTGGTTTCAGAAGTACCGGTATATTCACATATAATCTAGATGTCATACCGGACTACGCTTTTGCTATAGCAGATGTTCAAATTGAAACACCAGACGTGGCAATTCAAATTGAAACTCAAAACTTATCCGATGCTCAAGATAGAACCTCAGAAAATATTGGTGATGGCCAAGTTGATGAGCCAGCTTGCCGAGAATAACATTCAACCAGAAGGGATTTGTCAAAATCTGGAAACAGAAGTAACCCCTATCAGTAAAATGCTGACAGATATATCGCCCGTGCCTAAGTTAAGGGTTGAAGCTGCAAAAAGACGGTCCAGATCAGTTGCTTCAGAGTTGAGTTGTACATCAAACATTGAGTCCTGTCGGGAGAAGTTCGAAAAGAGAAAAGTAGGAAAAGGAGAGGAACAAAAAGAAACCAAGAAAAGAAAAACTGATGATAAACCCAGGGTCAGTAGAACCAAGGAAAGAAAGATTAACAGCTGTTTTACAGAATCTGACGAAGAACCACTCGCTAATCTTTTAGGCAAAGAAAACAAAAAAATAGAACAAAACAACCTGAATGACAACGACATCGGCGTTGTGGACATCTGCTTAGTCTGCCAGGAATTTGTGAAGAGCGGTGAAACTTGGTATAGGTGCATTTACTGTGGAAAATGGGTTCAGAAATTATGCATCGGGCAAAGTACCCCTGCAAATTTTATTTGTCGTTTGTGTTCTTCTAATATTGCAAAGTAAACTGCTCTTAGTTTGTAAAGAAACATGGATGCGGTACTTTAGGTGGGTTCCCATTTTAGTTTTTTATCGTTTATGTAAAAATAAAGTGTTTTTTGCGTCTAATATGACCTAAGTATTTTATTTTCCTGCAAAAAGATAAATAAAATCTACCTGGTCATCTCACCTTAAAGGTGACTTTTTATGACATGAGAATTATTGAAAAAACTATTTTGCTACTCGCATTGAATTTTAAAGGTAATCAACCTACACATGAAGGGGTTACTCTATACCAAATTTCAAGTTTGTACTTTCCATCTATCAAACAATATAACCAATAATAAAAAGTATGGCCATCTTTCCTCGACTTATCCTATATGAGAGTTTTTTTATTTAAGCTAATAACAATGCAACTGAAAAGCTTTGGCGTAAATCTATTCAGTGAAACCGGCTCCATTGTTTTGATATTTTAAGGTTTACGGGGCTCTCCACTATTAGATGTTTACGAGATATTATCGATCAAAATCTCTTCATTTAAGAACCAGTGACCTACAGATGTGAGGTATATGTTAAGATAAAAATAAGCATCACGATAGCGCATCCTGTACCAGTTTTGATGCTGATCAGTCGTGATTCTTTAACTGGAATCTGACGTATTGTGCTTGGAATGCATTTCGATCCGCCTGAAAGCAGGCAGTTGCTACCTGCTGTACTGGACATCATCGTATTGTTATGCAAATGTGATGATGTATCCGATGGTAACTTATATTTATAGTGTAATAATGGTATTGACTTTGCTAGAGAAATCATTACAATCACTGTTAGATTATGTGTTATTAGAAAGTGTTTAGCCCAACAAAAATAAGGAATATTTGAGCCTTCAGTTGCGTTATTTTTGACAGCGGTAGCAAATAAGGATTGTTCGGAAATCAGTTTTTATGACCACTAAATTAAACCATGGTAATTTGACGGTAACAACTATTGACAATCATGACTGGATACTTGTCTTTTTTTCGTTTTTGATGTGAAGCTAACCCCAAAGCCAAGAACTTGTTAAATAACTACAATAACAGGCTACCTTGCCACCTTACGTACGTAAAATAAAAAATAAGCAGATCGAGCTTCATTAGTTGCTTTGACTTCGATATGTCACAGAATTGAATTTACATAACAGTAGAGACAATGAATCAAGAAACTCATTTATTCAAACAACTACCTGAAAACTTACATCCTAGAATGATCTGCGTCAAAACTTCCTGGTAATAATCCAGTTAATAGGCGTGACTGGATCAATTATCACAGCCTGACGTTTGAGTCCTGTCTTTTTTCAATTGTTTCTTATGATTTTCAATCAGAATCATTATAAACGGATTATCGTTATTATACAATTAAGAACTGAAAAACTATGACGCTTCATAACAGATTGTCTCCAGTTACGTGCATTCCGGAGCGACTCTAAAATAATCGAACCGTGTACGAATAATGTTAATTCCAATCGTTATCCAACTTAGAATACAATAGGTACACTTCTAAAGATTTTTGGTGCGATGAGAATTTTGTCAAACTCTGTCCGATCAATATGCGGTAATGGAAGCGGATTGGGACTAATGCCCCTAAGACTCAATATTGCACACTAACCCTTTCCAGGAAGTCATTCGTTGAGAATGATGCATTTTCTACTTAGACAAAATTGCATTTATTTAGCTGGGATACATTGTTTCAAGCCTATAATGCATTAAGTGAATCAATAGGTGTCTTCTATGTAGATATTTCTTAGCAACTGTTGCATTTGCGCATTATGTCTTTAAGCATTTTGGAATCCACAGGCCTGAAAGCTTATTCTGTTGAGAACTGAGCTTTGATATTGATACTCCATATTCGCATTTGGCTTGACAATCCCTGATACTTTGCAGAATACTGCAATGGCTTTAAATTTGTTACTCATAAATTACTTTTTTGGCACCCTTGTGTACCCACAGATTCAAATCAATGCCCCGGGTGCTACAGTTTATATCACCAAATGTCGTACCTGCGATGCTGGAAGAGCAGAGTAAGCAGCTGCTCCTAAAGCAAACAGATGTGGTGGCAGTTCTCCTATCATCCTTCCTTTGTATCTTTGCGCTGACTCAACCCCATAGCTGCCATCGAACATTTTGTAGGGGTTGACAGCGACAAGGATGCTTCCCGCATAGGTGTAAATGAGGTTCCTAAAAGAATAACAGTAATCTAAAGTATATTTTTTTCTTTTTTTCTTTCAAATGGTTCTGGATTTTGGACAGAAATATGTTCATGTAGGTGAGACTAGTCGAATCATTCACTAAAGATGAGATGTTGTGCAGATCACAAATGAAACGAGTCAACAACATTACCCTTAAAGATACCTTTTTCAGCAATACTTGAATGTTATTGTAGTCTGGTAAAAATAAGTTTATAAATAAGAGTTTTGAATATACAGAATTATTGTATACAGACCTTTTTCAGAAAAGTATTATGAAGATGACCTCAAATATGACCTAGATAATTGGAGACCACTTTTAGGTCAACTTTGAAAAAAATCAAATAAACACCACAATTTTTGACTCCATACTGTGATTTTACATGACAGTGCGATTTCAAACATGAGGTCAAGTGATCGTAAGTGGTCCACTCAGTATGACCCACCGTAACGTCTTTCTTTTGGATTGGCACTAAAACTTATGTCCTATTAGCCAGATACGAATTTTTTATTAATTTATAGACAATTCACACAACACCACCCGACTAGCCGACGCGACGTATCTGTAGCACGACACTCTGCACAGTAACGTCTGAAAAGTACACAAACACCCCAAAACTTGTCAACCCCGCATTTTCTCTTGAAATAGGGTATTAGGATGGTTTCAGGTTACTAAAAAGCAATTGCCGATGACCTGAAATATGATATAGACAATAACATCAGAGATAATTTGGAGGTAAATTTTGAAAATTAATGTAGCAACTATAATTTTTGATACCAGATTCATGTACAGCTTAAGATTTGACTAGTCAAGCAGAATCGCACAGCAACCCTCTGTTGCGTGACTCAGTGGACTACACAGTGCAGCAAGTTCGTAAACATTCAAGGCCACGGCTCGCACTGTAATAAAAAATTAGCGCGAACTGTTAGTTAACTTAAAATTACACTCTAACAAAACCGAATCAAACTTTGTTTAGTTTACCTCAAAATTAATCCGTGTACCAAATCAAAAAGCCTAGGAGTTGCCTCTTAAACTAAGCATATCTGTTTTTCTTTGCTCTTCTTCTTTTTTCTTCTTTCCCTTTCTCTTTTTCCTTGACATTGTCTGGTTTCTGGGCAACCAGGACTGACAGATTCGACTAACGTACATTAGATAGTGATACATGGGCAAAGGTCCTACGGACCGCCCAGACAAACAAATGACGAATAGTAGCTTAAGATTTGACATCATAGTACATTTTCATAGCAGAGGTATGACGGATGCTCATGACTAGCAGCATATACTTCCAGCTTTCGAGATCCATTCCTACTGAATGCTTATTAATAAGCGGCCCAATCAGCTTGACCTACTGTAACGTTTGAAAGGTACACCCAGAATAACAAAAGAGCAAGTTGAATTTAATTCAGATATGGCCTCAGAGGTCAATTTGCTGTCAAAAATTGTGGTTGCTATTTAAATTTGTTTTTTAAACTCGACTTCCAAATTCCCTCTGAGGTCATTCTCTAGGTAATACTTGATGTCACCGACAAATCGCTTTATCGATATCGTGAAACTTTCTTCGAAAGAATGCGTGATTGTCGAGTCTTCGGATATTTAATAGTATAAAGATAAAGGTATCTGGTAGATAACTCAGTGCTCCCAATATATCCATAGATTTGACGAAAATCATTCACAAACAGTGAGGCTCAATTAGAAAACAGTTCAGTTTTGAATATACCTCCCCTACCCTCATTCATAGCGCTGTTCTGTTCAATAATAAAAATCGCGTTCATTGTAAACTACTCCTGTTGATTAAGGCTAATGAGTCCATTGAACCTCAACAACCTAAAGGATTTAGCGCTATATTATTTGATTAGTTTCTTAGTGTTACCTATCATATCGCAGTTTGAGGTTCCACAGCAAGGCAGCTTCGTGAAGATCATTGAGTTGTATCATGTCCTCAACGCCTTCAGTGCCTAGGTCCTGCCTCCTCCGGACCTGACCCTCTCCTTCCGCCAAGGCAAACGTCTGAGCCTGTAAAAAGAATTGCTTGTTGTGTATACTTTTATTCTGAGTTTTCTGTGTGATTAGTAAGTAATCAGTGATGTACAAGAGTATCTGGAATACAAAATAAGTATAGGTGCGGCACAAGGCTCAGTACTTGCACCACTGCTCTTCATTGTATACATAAATGACTTGAAGTTGTCTGGCTTCATGATTAATTATGCGGATGACACATCTATTGTCGTCAGTGCCACGACACCGCAGGATCTTCTCGAATCTATTGAGAAAGTCAAAAGTGAAATGAGCAAGTGGTGCCAGTCTAACCGCCTCATTTTGAATGAAGATAAGACTGTTAAAATTCATTTCTTCAACAAGAAACCACGCATGGATATTGATAGCTTTTCAGATCAAACTGTCTTCTTAGGAACTCATGTTGATAGTAAGTTAAGCTGGCAACCACAAATAAATCACATTTGCAACAAAATTAACAGTGCTTATTTTGCAATATTGAAATTAAAGCCTAGCATCCATCTAAACTCACTCTTAGATATGTACTACGCGCTAGTTTATTCTCACCTCACTAACAATATAATCATATGGGGACAGGCAACAATGACTAACAGATTATTCGTCCTGCAGAAAAGAGTACTTCGATTAATTTTTGATGTTAATAAGAGGGACTCTTGTAAAGAAATATTTAGACGCTATAATCTGCTTACATTAACTTCCATCTATATCTACAAATGTGCGATCTTCGCATTTGAACATAGCAATAGATTTGTTCGTAACAACGCCATTAATAGTCAATACAACACTAGAATAGGGCATGATCTGAGTATACCGACACATAACTCTGCCCTATTCCAAAAATCTCCCACTCTAGCGTGCACTAAGGTATACAATAATCTGCCGAGTGAGTTGCGGAGAAGCACTAATATCCTTGCGCTGAAAAAACATCTCAGGAAATATCTGGTTGAAAAATGCTATTACTCTCTACATGAGTTTTACTAACACATGAAAGTATCTGTTTTCTTTAAATTCTTTTAAGCTGTTAATCATTTCGTTATCAATGAATTGTCTATTATCGTGGAGTAAATGTATTTTAATTTCACTTTTTATTCGAGTTTTCATGAAAGTATGTATGTCTTCTTTTTAAGCTTTTAACCATTTGTCCTCACTGCTCGATGCTTATTGTGTTTATATATTATGTATTTCTAACAGATTCTCCTACCGCTTTTCTTTTCTTTGTATCAGCTTCAATAATTTTTACCGGCTAGACGAACATTTTTTGTGATAAAAAAAGTCGCTGTATATGTATATCTATATTTTTACCGTTACAGATTGAACACATTACGATTCTTGCACTGTACCTGTACCTATAATGTGATTTAACCTTTTAAAATGTTTTGTAATTGTAATGTCCTTATTTATTTTATAATTATAAGTATTTTTCTGGCATATTTGCTCAAACGCATATATGACCCTCAAATTGATATTGACAAGTCTTATATCATGTAACATGATCTAGTAGGACAATAAACTATCTATCTAGAACCATATACAAAACACTCTCTGGAATGGTATCTGAAATTGAAGATATCTACTAGTAGATCACGTCGATATTGCAAATGTAACAAAATTATAACTGTACTTTTTAAGTTTTAAAAGAAACTTAAGTAGAACCAGTTTTTGAAGCAGTTTTCTTCGACGAAACCACATTGTCATATTATCGTATCAAAGAGGTCTTATGTATGAAAAATACTTCTTAAATTTTTGGGTTAATCGCTTTATTATTTAAGTATTGCAATGTTTCTGAGTTAGCGGTGCAGATAGTAGCTCCTTTGTTTTCACTGTTTTCATTATGAAAGATGTCATAGGATTCGTCTTTTGACATTTTTTCTATCTCCTCCATTATTGTCTAAAGTCTCCGTCTTTTGTTCTTCAGATCGATAAATTTTTCACATTTCAGAATTTTGCATACCCATTCCATTTTAAAGAACGGATTTGAGACAGAGGCTAATATTGCATCATATGCTGCAAAAAAATTTAAAATGTCTACTTAGGTTTTCTGCAGTGACATGTAGCCGAAAGCTACCAGCTGCAGTATTTTAGACATTCCATCCTAAGGTATTTACAGATATGTTGAATTTTAATTAATTTAAATAGCAAACAATCACAGTGCCTGTATCCCTTTGCAGGATTGGGGTAGCTTCTGCTGTTGGCTTTGAACAGTCCATAATATTCACTTGAAACGTTTATTTCATTTTGCCTCAACGGAGTTGATTTCGACATTTCCATGGTGCCACTAAAGACGTTCTTCTATGGAATTATAATTCCATCGAGCTGCGCATGGAGAATTTGTGGATTCCTCTCTCCAGAAATGTTTCACAAAAGTATTTTAGCAAACACAGTATTTAGGAAATGCTATCAAACGGAGGGTATCTAAATATGAAGTACAAAATGAATTTTAATAAAGCATTTTAGATATAAATACGTATTTTGTATCTTGTATCTGTACTTCAGATACTTGTATCTTGAATACGAGACATTTCTGTTAATAATGATAATTCAGCATGTCTAGTGAATGTGCAGCTGAAATCGATGGGAAATGATGATTTTGATATGATTATTCAAGTATCAAGTTTAGAGGTGATTCGCAACCCTCCTTGTTCAAAGATATTACACGATCTCTCAGAAAACTATTTTTTCTAAAGCGATCACGAAGTGTAAAAAAATAAGCTTTCACGTTTCCTTTTGTTCATAACTTGCCACTACTGTGTGCGAGGCACTACAGCTGCTCCAATCGTGTTTAGCAAATAGAATTCAAAATTCAAGTGTTTTTCAGACTTCTCTTGAACATTGAAATTGTTGTTCCACTGGGTACTGTTCTTGGTTCTTTTATATTTATGACATATTATTATTTATTCCATAATATTAACTCGCTAACGCATCTTGAAATAAAGACAATCATAATTTCATATGCTGATGGCATTGCTCTTTTATTTAGTTTTAAATCAGTGCATTTTTATGAGAATGAACTTAATTGTATTGTCTTGAGTCGAAAATTGAATTTTGTAAAAACCGGGATAACTCATTTCGAGTTATAGAGGAGTAAAGATTTAGCGGACAGACAGCAGTAGAGAGGTGAGGTTTCTAAGTATGAGGCATGCTTGAACTACTTCGGGAGGTGATCCACAGTTATTTGAAGTTTAACGTTACAAAAATTCAAGATTCAATGGGACTACATGTTGCTCAAGTCGATTGTCTGACAATAAGAGTTCAGACGAGATTACAAGTATGGTCAAGTACATACATACAAACCGGCACCCGTTCCTACCATATATATTTCCATGCACTGTTTTTATGGTTAAATCTACCGTAAAACTGATTACAAACATATCATACATAAAACCCACAGCATACCACCAGTAATACAGTCTATTGACTAACAGATATCAAAAATGGTTACAACAGACATATGGTTCATAATCCTGAGTTACACTTCTTTCACTCTCAAGATGCATAATTGTCTTTAAAACTGAAGACAGCAGGACTAATTACGTGTTGGTGATGTTGGTACAGACTACAGAGGCAAACTGGATCCAAGCGTTATATAACTTTGCATGTCTTGGCACAGACATTGTACTACTTTCTCAGAGTCTCATTGATTCGTTGAACTCACACTGTTTTGCGCTTGTGAATGAGGCTGTTCAATAAGAGAGTGCTAATTAACACTGGCGTGTTAAACTAAATTGGATAATGTTTGGAAAAAGTATAGACTTGACACTGATTGCAATAAACTATGCGTAGGCAATCAGACTTATGCTGTATTTTTATAAGTGATTGCATAGTTTTGGAACTATGATCTAATGCTACTTTGAGCTTGACGAATTATATTGTTTCATCAGAGAATAGAGGACTACCCTTGGCGCATTAACAGGAGAAGCACCTTAAGGCCATTAGTTATAGCAATTGAATTAGACGAGTGTTTTTCTCATAATATCATAAGGGCATCTAATTTTTTCGAAAAAAATCGAAAAAACACGTTGTTAAGTAATATTTTACAAGAAGCATGAATGCAGGTGACACTCGTATTCGACTCAGATTTTTGTACCTGCGCGAATGTTTTTTGTTCAAAAATATTACTTTGCATTGTGTTTTTTCGATTTTTTCTGTCACCTCACACAAATATTTCAATATGACATAACATTTTTTTGTTTGTATAACTATTACATTTAAAACCTGAAATATTGATTACCCTCCACTTACTTATATTTTTATCTACATCATATTTTGATATAGGTACCTATATTTTCAACTGTTTGTATCTTATCAAATGTTTATGTGTTCTTATATTGTTTCAGTTTTTTTGGGGTTAAGTGGCCGAGTAGCATTATCCAAAACTTCACCCCCTAATATACAGGGTGTTTCAGTTTATTGTTGCATAACTTTAAGATTCGATAGAACTTTTAAAATTAATGCATAAAGTCTATATAAACATGGGTCGAAAAACGCGTGGCTTCCGAAATACAGGGTGTTTAAATTTACTTTCTAAAATAGTTTTTTTTAAATATTTCGAACAATATTTGATGTATAACAGTGAAATCGGTATACAAGGGTTTTTTGGTACGACAAAACGAACCATGGACATAGTTTTACTGTAGCCGCTAGAGGGCGCTCTCTACTGTACCTGTAGTGTATTAAAATGGCCTAAAATTTTTTCTTAGCGCGATTATTTGCGTTTTGAATAAAAAAACTGATTCTTCGCACTTTTCAACATAAAAAAGCTCTCTTGTGAATTTTCGTTATAATTAGCCGTTTTTGAGATATTTCGATTTTTAAGGTTCGATGCATTTTTAATTATTTATGATAAAATAACGTTCAAAAACGTATCTCGATAATTTTTAGAAGTAGGCTGTGCCTGCAAACATTTTTGAAATTGAAAGCAGAATAAGGTTAAACGTCAATTAGTTGACAGTTAGTTTTGTTGTCTATTGAAACCTGAAACGTTTTTTTTGCAATTATGAATGCACGAAATTTAGTTTCTTTTACCTGTTTTTTTGTAAGTTTTATAAAAATGCCATTTTTATTCTCCAATCAAGAGTTAGCGGATATTCATTTTGTGTATGGCTTTGTAAATGGAAGCGCAGCAGAAGCAGCCAGAGAATACGCACGAAGATTTCCAAACAGACGACATCCAACTCGCTCAGTATTTGTAAGAGTGCATCGCCAAATAATTGAAAATGGTTTTGGAAATCTCCAAAGGGATCAAAACATAAACGTTCGTCAGCGCAGATTTACCCGTATGATTCTGCGTGACTTTGATAGAGATCCGACCACAAGTGTTAGGAGAGTTTCTGGTGCCTTGGGAATTTCAGCAAGCCATGTTCACCGTGTTCTTAGAAATGACCATAGACGTCCTTACCATTTGCAACCTGTGCAAGGACTACAGCCAGGGGACGGAAAACGAAGCATCACATTTTGTCAGTGGATTCTTGATAGAACTGATAATAATAGGGAGTTTTTAAGTAACGTTTTATGGACCGATGAGTCATGCTTCACTAGACGTGGAGTGGTAAATTTTCATAATCAACATATTTGGTCGCATGAAAATCCTCATGCGGTTCGGGAAAGAAATTTTCAGCATGAATTTAGTGTGAACGTGTGGATTGGTATCTACCGTAATCGACTATTTGGACCCTACCTTTTGCCTGCAAGGTTAAATGCTGCGACCTTCTTGGAATTTTTAAAGGCTGAACATGTAAATATGTGGGATGATGTTATGTTAGATTTAAGAAGATTGGCCTGGTTTCAGCTTGATGGTTGTCCAGCTCATTATTCGAGAATAGTTAGAAACTGGCTGGACGAAAATTATCCAGAAAGATGGTCCAGTCACCTGGCCTCCACGATCCCCTGACCTAAATCCATTAGATTTCTTTGTGTGGGGATTTCTAAAAGAAAAAGTGTACCAGACTCCCGTAACCACAAGAGATATACTAATAGACAGAATCAGGAATTCATGTGATGAAATAAGGCCTTATTTGAATAATGCTATACCACGTTCGATCATTCGTAGATGTGAATTGTGTATTGAACAATTGGGTTTACATTTCGAGCAACTAATTTAGATTTTGTATTTGTCCTAACTATCCAATAGAATTTCAGTTGTAAATAATTAATTTAATTTGTTAAAAATAATATTGGAAAATTAAACAAATTAATATTTTGTTTTTTTTTGTGTTTATTTGGAGTTAGGAATTATTGCTGTGTTTAAAAACAAAATCTAAACGATCATCTTAATTACTTGTAATGCGCAAATCGAAAATGTAAAAAAAATATTATTTTCCCATAAATAATTAAAAATGCATCGAACCTTAAAAATCGAAATATCTCAAAAACGGCTAACTACTCACAGGAGAGCTTTTTCATGTTGAAAAGTGCGAAGAATCAGTTTTTTTATTCAAAAAGCAAAAAATTGCACTACGAAAAAATTTTCGGTCATTTTAATACACTACAGGTACAGTAGAGCGCGCCCTCTAGCGGCTACAGTAAAACTATGCCCATGGTTCGTTTTGTCGTACCAAAAAACCCTTATACACCAATTTTCACTGTTGTACATCAAATATTGTTCGAAATATTTAAAAAAAACTATTTTAAAAAGTAAATTTAAACACCCTGTATTTCGGAAGCCACGCATTTTTGGACCCATGTTTATATAGACTTTATGCGTTAATTTTAAAAGTTCTATCGAATCTTAAAGTTATGCAACAATAAACTGAAACACCCTGTAGATGATTTATTATCATCATTATTGGTTATTTCATCCAGTATAACGATGAACATATAATATAGCATTAGCAACAACAAATTTTCAATCTCACCTTTGTTATATCTGCTAGAAAGTAAAGGACTAACATGTTCTATTTTTTCAGCAACTTAACCAGAGTAACTTCAGTAAGCTACTTTCAGAAAAATAAACTTCGTCAAATTCGTCCATGTTTGCTGGGCTTAGCCTAAATCCTTACAGCGATCTAAAGCGTGGTTGGAACACTCCTCCTCTTCAGCACATTGCCAGTATAGTAGATCATCTACAACTCCAAGTAATGCCTTAACGTATTGAGGCCAGTTAGAAGCCTGATAAACAGTTACGAATCAACCTGTCCTTATGCAAAGATAGATAGGCAATTAGGCTCCCTGGTAACTTCCGTGTCTGCCAGAGACTTTCGGAGATTCTTCTCTACCTCAGAGAGTGCTGATTTGCATTCCTCTCTTCCTTTATAGTCCTAATTCTCCAACTATTCCGACTCTTGGTTCAGGACCAAGTGTTTTTCATTAGATTCTACAGTCATACTAATGAGATCTAGTTCTTTGCTACAACATCGTCTTAAACCTTCCTACACTCCAAATCGAACTTCTATTGTCTATTCTGAATACGAGAAAAACAGAACAATATCAGAGATATCTGCCATGTAAACTCCGTATTCCTCAAAGGAAGTTATTTTTCTGTTCAGTTTGTTGATTTGCACATTTTTGCCATTCGTATTTCGAAAGACTATTGACAAACTAAGCTAAACTTTGTAAATTTATTTTAGCACCGTTAGCCAACTACACCTGCTTTGGATTCCAGAAATATAACCAAACTGCGGAAAGAATTGAACTTATTCATCAGATATCAAAACTTCCACTGCACGTGACCGTAGAAAGCAAAATAAATGTTGTGAAAAAATTAGCAGCAATTTATCTTAACCCCATCACCCGGCGTGAAATGTGCCGTACCAAGAACTGTGAGAGATTTACGTGAGCATGATTTTTAATACGCTCTTCAATTCGCGAGATTGTTGATGACCCTTTTGAGGTCAGCGATTTATTCGAGCATTCAATTTATAGTCCGGGCTTAATAATATTATTCCATTAGGTATGGATAATAACTGTGAAGTTATGAGAGTCAGAAAAGCCATTATACCGACAAGCCGATAGATTACAAAAAGATGAATAACTGGAAGATGATGAACGTATATCTTAACATTTCTTAGTCTGTTTTATGCAAGTACCGCAACATTTATATCCGTATTCTTAATTGCAGATCCTGAAAAGTTTTCTTGGCTATTATCTGATTCCAAACTGGGATCTGATAAGGAAATTGCCAAAAAGGTGAGTCAGAGAATAAAAGCCCACGAATATAAATGTTTGTAAGGCATTGAGTTAAGTATTTCACAATGACGTTTACTCCTGTATCAAACCCGTTGTATTTCCAATGGCAAGGAACCTGGAACTAATCGCGAAAACATTCGAAAATGAAATATTGTATTTTTTTAGATGTTACGTCTACATCACGAAAAACCAACCATATATATTGCTCTCGTCCGTCCGGGTAGCTGTTTCATGCTTTTTAGCTACCCATCAGCATAGTATAGACTTGGTCTGTCGGACAACGAACCAGCGCTTAGACAGTATATTCTATCAAAAGTGTGGGATCCAGCGAAACAAGACAGCACAAAGCGCCATCTACCACTGGCTATTCACTGTTTACCATGGTCGATTCAAGTAGTAGATGGCGCGTGCAATGTCTTATTACAAAAAACCATAACCCTCATTTCCGTCGCCCTGTCTGTCGGTTTGTCCGTTAGACCTTGATCTAGTGGCGGCGGCGTTATGTTCGAAAAAGAACATCGTTCAAACTCGGTTTTTGCGTGGTCTTCCCACGTTTTTGTAGTTTTCTTGTCCAATGAGAAATTTATAGAACGTAACTTTGTCAAACTGGTGGCGTCTAGACCTATTAGTCTGACTTGATCCATTTCATGAGATATGTCTCGGTTACATTCAAAGAATAATGGTGGTGAAGAATTTTTGATAATGTTTATTTTATTAATTCATAAGTCAATTTTTTTTTGTAGTCGAAAAGCGATTTTTTGTGTTTAAGTCCTGGTGTGTATTTGGTCGAAAGCTCTGTCGTTACGAAAGATATCCGAAAGAGTTGTTTGAAAGGATTAAAGAAAGAAATACGCTTCTTACTTAGAAAACAGCTGCTCCCTACACAGTGATTCACATCTACTAACATGCATTTTTCAAATGGAATACCGTTGATATTTTTATATATTCTGGAAAGCCTCTTCAAAAGACGAAGTTTGGGGTTGGATCAAAATTACAAAATTTAGACATCAAGTAGCTTATTTATATTTGATGGGCTTAACCAGTGACTTGGTACTGACGTTTATGTTGAACTCCTATACCTGCTGTTAACAATCAAACAAATGTTCGAAGCGAAAAGTTTTACCTAAAGCAGCGCTGTCGGATTGTGGTCCAAAACTACTGTACTATAAGGTCACTAGCGGTTTCAGATATAGCCACTTATTGGAAAAGTGTTTAGCAGGAAAAGGATGTCGTCCTTTAATGGCAGAGGCGCAGCGTGAAAGCGTACGTTGTTAAAATTTTTGCTGTAAGGAAGTGACCGAAAACGTACAAAGAGATGTACATAATCTCAGATCTCGGCAACTCGATGTTCCCATATGTAGGAATGATGAAGCCGAAGTGAAGTGAGCTTCCATGGAAAGTGAAAACAAAAAGGCGAGAATATGAATTCTGTGTCCGTTCTTCTTTTGTGGTCCGATACATGGTAGGTAGTTCTTCAGCACAGACTGAGTCATAAGCGGAAAAAATGATGTCAAGTAGGTTGACTCTGCACTTCCCAAGCAACGCTGCCTTCATTTCAAGAATTATGTTCAGCACAAGTTAGACAAATTGGAAAAAAAAGTTACGAACATGTATAGTAATAGAGAACTAAAGCGGATCAAACCAGTCGCACACAATCATCTGGCAAAGTCGCTTCTCCCCGATACCTGATCGCACGAGATGTCAGAGGCAGCCGCGCGGCTTTGCGCCATGCGCCAGTCATGCCAGGGCACGAAAACAAGCACGCTCGCCGATGAGTCTAGAGAGCAGAAGTAGGCACGCGTGTCGAAACAATTTCAGTAAAGTTCTAAGCTTTAAGAAAAAATTTAGGGTAAAATCTATGACTTGTGAAATATGTATAACAGTTTTAGATGCTTTTATTTTTTTTTGTTTTTAAATTTTCTCTCCAGTACCATTAAACCGATTTTCGAAGAGCTTGTTCATCCTTGGCATAGTAGTAATCATGTGTCAAAATTTCATCTAAATCCAAGCAATATTTCCCAAGTTATCGACAAGCCATGCATTTGCGGACAGACGTAAATGAGTGACCTCGTTTTTCGTGATTTACGTTCAAAAAACATATCTTATTTTAGCCAACAGGCGTGGGAAGTAAAAATTTGATACGTCGTGGTATCACGCTGCATTTGTACTTTTTGCTATCAAGTCTAGCAAGACCAAGAAGATCTAGTGAAAATCTGGGTGAGTCGTTGAGGATTACACATTTTGCTCAGATGGCCTGTTCTAGTGGGTAGAAGTAGTAACATCCGATTGGGTTTAGTATTTTATAATTTCATCTAAGTGGCCGTCAGAGTTTATATTTATGTCCATAACATGGTGGTCGCAAGATCGATGAAAAGTCTTGGCATCATTCATTTTCTCTTTCCCCAAGTTGCATCTTGAGTGACTTGTTTTTTGTCTGACAGCTGAACCAGCCTACGTCAGAAGAATAAATCATGCTCATACAAATTGACAGTTTTATTGAATCCTTGTGGTTGAAATCATACATCCCTCTCCTTGTTTGTCTTTAAAAACAGGTACGCAATAAAACCAACGTTTTAAAATGGGAAATGCGTTGCTGTGGGGATCCGGTTTGAGTATGATTCTAACGACATCGTGAGGTGCCTACAAAATATCAACCGCACATCGACTTAGTCATGAGTGTATATAAGCAAAATATGATTACTTTTTTTTCCAATTGCATTTTATAAATGCAGGTGTGTTGAGACAGACATAGGTGGAAACTATTAAAAAATATACATAAAACATATGTTTCCTCATCACGCATGTTGGTTGTTTTGTAATAGGCAACAGGCATATGGTAACCAGCCTTGAAGGTTTGTTGAATAAAAAAGTGAGGTGATTATATATAGTTAAAGTATAATCAAAGGATAGAAGTAATAAGCAACGAATCTTCTGCATAAGTTTCATAGTATTCCAGTCGGAATGCAAACGCATCCCAAAGCTTATAATCAAAAATGATGATTTTTATAAGATAATCATAAGGTTGCCTCTTTTTCATTCGATGCTACTTTTCTTATAATTTCGAGGGATTTTTAGTTAGCACGTACTATGCAAGATTACACGTATCTTACGAAATATATTTGCACAAGCTGCGCTGTGCAGGGCTCTTTAGCAGAACTGAACTGCAGTGGACTTGTACATCTCTCTATTTGAGCTCATTACATCGATCATAAGAAAATGACGGTCTTCACAAAATCATTTATCGGGGTATCCATTGGAACTAAATATTGCATTTAAATCCGACTCAGAATCGCCAAAAAGATACTTGCCACATCGAGAAAGGAACCAAGTCGACTTTTACTGCACGTCTTCACAAAGGACCAACATTGACACTAGCTGACATCCTAAGGTAATATGCGCAGGTTCGAATCCTATCCCAAGATAATTTTTCTCTTGGCTATGGATGCTGTGATTGCCCGTAAGTGGTAGATGGTCTCTGACTGAGGAACGTGGAGGTACCACCCGCCGTATCTCATAGGTGGAACTAGAATTTGTGCATGTTGCCTTTTTCCCTGTATCTCCCTATAGCCTCTCAGTTCCCCATGGGTGGCCTTAGGCCTTCGTGGTGGTTGGACTATAAGAAAAAGGTGTTGGAGACGTACATAGACCTCCTAGCTTACGACACGCAATTGTGAAGTAAGTTCATCCAGTCTTATGGTGAGGCTCATGTCGTTGCTCTTGATATCATGGAAGCGTTCGATCAGCTACGCATACTTCCATCATATGATCTCCCAGAGAAGCTTTGCAGATGTGTGGATGATTTTCTCTCTGGCCGCAAAATATCCGTCGTAACTGACCTAACCGCGAGTATTGCTGCCTCGACTACACTACTTACGCTCGATGCTGTCTAGAGGAGGGCTGACTCTTCACTAACGGACGGTCTTTGTACCCTTTCGCACCGGCGGGCCGTCGGCGATCTAGCTCTCTTCTACCGCTACACCAACGGGCTTTTCTCCTGAGAGGTCTCCTCCATGACGTTGCCGCGTGATGTACCTGCAAGTCAGACCCGCCTGACTTCGGCCTTCCATCCTAACCGAGGGTGTCGAGATTGTGAAACAATGGACAAGAGGAGGCTTTTCCCAGTTCTACTATCCTTAGTCAGTTCAAAAATCGGATAATCAAATTTTTTTTGGGATACTCGTAGCAGCCGCGGTGACCTGGCATTTAAGTTCCTTCCTGCGCGGCTGCTTCGGTGTAAGAAAAATCACCCTTTCAACAGGGATTTTTCTTATCTTTTACTAGTTTTAACAACTTAATACTAACCTATAAACATAAAAATGACCAGCAGTAGTCAGGACCTTCTGTACCATTTTATATACGTAATTATTGCCCATTATTGGCCTCATACCTACTGATTCAGCGTGAATAAATAATGCGGTATCCATCTAGGTATCCATTACATTACCCACCCAGCTGATACTGCCAAAGTTCAAATTCCCATCTGTCTTCAACTTATTCTATCCGTCAAATTTTCAAAGTATAGTTTCTTATTAGCCAAATTTCATTTCAAGCATTGTGAATGCACTAAGGGTTCCCCGATTAAATTTAACATAAATAGGTAGATATACTTAGAGTTATCTACCACGTAACAGGTCTAAGCCTTGAGTGATTGCATTGGCATGTATATGTTTATGTATAAACGTGTAACTAGAATTTATTCTCATGAGACAACGAACATATGAATGTATATTCTTGGAAACGCATGAAATAAACAAAGCATTCTCGTTCTGCAGAATTACATAACCGTTTTACAGTTAGAAGTATTTCTATTAAAATTCAACCTTTAGTGCGTGCATTTTGCATAAACATAAGTTCATTTCATTATTTACTAAAGACTTTCAACTTTTCCCGCAAATAGAAAATTTTTGTTTACCGGTGTTAATAACTGCTAATAGTAATATCAATTAATGCCCAGTGACTGCCAATAACTGCTAATAAGCTTTAGATTATAAATTACGAGGGATGTCTTCTAAGTTTTGCATATAGAAGCATAGTAGGCCGCGCGGATCGAACGTCAGCACTGAATCTTAACCTCACTCTTTAGTAAACTTAAATTCAAAGTTTCACACCAATACGTGCAGTGTTCTCACTTCAGTGAATTTTTAAGTGTTACCAAGTCATTAGAAAAATGGAACTCAACCGAGAACATTTTCGCGCCATAACTTATTACAAGTTACTGCCTTTTTCCGGCAACGAAGCGCCACATCAGACGACAATTTCCCCGTTGGTATGGAGAAATCAAACGTGGACAGGTGAGTCTTAGCGACGATCCCAGGGTGGGTGCATCAAAAACGGCAGTCACCCAGGAAAGCGTCGATGCTGTGCGCAAACTCATCATTGAAGATACGCATGTGACATGTCGCGAGATTGAGGCGTCTTTGAAGATCTCAAAGACCTCAATTCAAAATACTTTGCATGAAGAATTAGGAGTAAGAAAATTAGTTTCTCGTTGGATACCCCACCCGTTGACTGAAGAGCAGAAAGCAGCCAGGGTTCATTGGTGTCAAAAAACGCTTGACCGTATCAATTCCGGAAACTCAAAAAATGTGTACAGTATTGTTAGTGGCGATGAATTGTGGATTTACTGTTATGAAACAGAAAATAAATAACAGTCGGCAGTTTGGGTGTTCCAAGGTGAAGAGAAGCCAACAAAAGTCATCCGTTCCCAAAGTGTTTCGAAAAAGATGGTCGCGACATTTGTGTCAAAAGCGGGTAATAATTCCTCTTAATGAGCAAAGAACTGTTACTGCGGATTGGTACACCACCATTTGTTTGCCAAAAGTCATCACCGAGCTTCGAAAAATCAACCCCGAAAGAAGAATCATCCTGCACCAAGACAATGCAAGCTCGCACATAGCCCAAAAAACAAGGCAGTATTTAACAGAAGAAAACGTGTTATTATTAGACCATCCTCCATATAGTCCCGATCTAAGTCCTAAAGATTTCTTTACTTTCCCGACATTTAAAAACCGACTGCGTGGTCAAAGGTTCCAGTCACCAGAAAAACCAGTTGACGCATTCAAAAATGCCGTTTTGGATCTGCCAGCAAACGAGTGGAGTAAGTGCTTCAAAAATTGGTTCGTGCGCATACAGCTCTGAATTAATCTTCGTGGAGGATACAATAGAAGAAGAAGAAAACAATAAAGTCATTTAAAACTACCTACTGTGTTGTTTTATTTCCATAGGCAAAACTTAAAAGCCATCCCTCGTAGAACTCATAGGTAAGGTCGCCAGCAGCATTGGAGACTACGGAGAAACTTTGGCATATTATTTTTTCTTTCAAATCGAAATGAGGTTTTTGTTTGTAACTGTAACTTTTACTTTGCAGATTCAATAAGCAGTATTTGTATGAGAATATCTTCAACTTCCAATAAAACCCCACAGGTAACATTTCTAACAAAAAGGAAGTTCCAGTACCACGAAACATATGGAAAGCTCTCTTTGCTATACCGAAAGCTCTGTAAAGCATGCAAACATGAAATATATTTTTCAGAAATAAGTGCTATAAGACTTGAAGCAACGTGTTTTCCTTTTCCTTTCTCAGGACTATTGCTATCCTCAGCATGTCATGCAGAACGAATTGCGAATATGCACGGCAGCTGGTGAGTGAATTTTTGCAGATGTACGTGAATATTGTAATTATTTATTGTTTACTATAAGTGTTAAGTTTTAAACACTGGGGTTTGTTAAGGGTCTAGATTCTAGAAGCACTTTTTTTAATTATCACCATGTCATACCTCGTATTTGCTGTTTGCACAGCTATATCAGAGATAACACCAAAAAACTGAGCCTCGATTTAAACAAAAATATCAGGGCTTTATCTTAATTTTGATCTTTTTTTTCTTTCCAGGTTTCAGATTTTAGGGTTCTTTTTTTCATATTTCCTAATGGTATTTTCGCGAATCACGTAAGATTGTTGACAAAAATATTGAACATTTCAGCATTTGTGGAAGATATAATCAAAATGCTAGTCTAACGTAACATTAATAATTAGATATGTTGAAACAGGAAGACAATTTCAGCTTTTAATAGCTTTGACAGAAAAATATTCCAGACGAACATTATCTGAGACAAGATCTGTGCACATAAACCTATCTACATCGCAAAGTTAAGAGTCTTGTAGAAGCTGTTATTCAATCTTAGATCATGTCACATTGCTATTACAACATGATCATAACATAAATGCATAAATCGCATAACTAGCGTCTGATCTGATTTTATTAGAATGTTGCTACCTGTTTTGCTCGTGTATAGCATATAAATCAAACACACTTAGCTAGGTTGAGCAATTCCGTGTTAAGTTCCGATTAAAGCAAATGTTTCGATTTACATCTGACCCATCGATTGAATACTAACATCAAGTTACACAAAAAATTGATATAGTGTAGTCACTATCCAATGTCCTGTTTAACAGTCTGTTACTAAGGAAAACTGAAGTCACTAGTAAAAGTGACTAGGATGAAAACAAGTTCTTATTTCCTTCAAAACATAGTTCTGAATCTAGGCGGTTTTAAATAATCAGAAAATCCATAAACATTCAGATTGGTCAGAGATAGTAGACTTCCTATTGCAAGAGGTACAGTAAAAATTATACGAGAAGTTCTTACGATTCCAAGATCTTTGGAGCGTGTACAGGTAATCTCAAAACTGGTCACTTGATCATGAGTAACGCAAAGAGACATTTTCTTTAGAACGGCAGATAACTGCATAAAATATTTGGTAGCTTTACTGCGGAGAACTTACTATGTCTTTCATTATATAGATCAATGTCCAGTTTTAAAACAAATTGTATTTGCAGAACTGATGGAACATTATATCTTTGGAACCGATAAAGGTGTTGACTCAAACATTCTGTTGCAATTATGCTGCCGTCATGTGAAGGGATACATAGAACAGAGGCGAAGCGATCGGAATACTTTGTCCCTACTAAAAATACATTTTCAACCGCCAGCTTTTTTTGAACCTAGGGAGACCTGGAAAAAGCGGACACATTGTGATCGCGAAAAGTTTCCAAAATAAGATGTATATTTTTTTGTATGTTATGTGACATGTACATCACAAAACCCAAGTCATTCTTCCGTCGACCTTCTTGTCGGTGTTTTGCAAATCCTTGGCCCGTCTATAACTTGGACAGTACTATTCGGATTCTGATGAACCTTTTACACAAGGTTACTACTGTGACAATAACGCAAAATCCTTGTAGTTTCTGCAAATCGGTCCAATGGCGGCGGGGAATTGTCAAAAAATGAAAGAAGAAAAGAAAATGAAAACACTCAAACTTCATTTTTCTCGGTTTCAGAGGATGATTTTTAAAAATTTCTTCAGAGAAAAAAATGGGGGATTAGGGTTGTGTAGGTATGGAGAACGTTGCTTCGCAATCTTTTGATGTTAATATATGGATACACCAAACTATTTTCAGCTCATCGCGTATCTATTGGTGGCACTTGCCGTGCGCCACTACGTGACAAATGTTGCATATTTATTAGTGGAGCCCAGTAATTTATAAAAGCCGGTTGTAGAGGTAGGCACGATATTATCTACATATAGGCGCATTATGCTTGGAGTATTATAGAGTACACAAGTACGAATCAAGAGCTATTATAGTGTTACCAAACATTGTTGACAAACAGTTTTACATCAGAGCTCCAAAGAAATGAGGCTACCGTATACGGACCCCCTCATTGATGGAATCTGTAGGGTTTTTTTTTGTGAAGAGTCCACTAATGATTCCGACGAAATCTTAGTCTTTTTGATGACATTGCACTACAAGGAACTACTAGAAGTTGTTTCGAAGGTATAATAAGTATAGTGTTAATCTACTTGGCGCCATCTTTTTAACTTGTGGTTTAGTGACAGCAGACATTGAACCGACAGTTAAACTTGACCTAATATGATGATACGCGGCAGTTTGAATTAAAACTGTATAATACTAGTTCACTATTACTTATCTCAATTCAGTGACGAACCCCGTATGTCGGTAAGTGTGAAGCTGAGGAAGCTTTCTTGGATCTTTAATGTTTTTCCTATCCAAGGACTTGGCCACTATGTAATGCCTGCTCGGTACGCGGTATGCTCTTACCATATTACCGTTTTATGCAGAAACAATGACAGATCGAATTCCATTCGGTACTGACTATTATTTATATCATATCTGCTGTAGGAAGTGGCCAATTCGATCTATACCGTTCCAGCATAGTTGCGACCGTTTTTGCAAATATCGTTCATAAAGCGTGAAGATTCCCATCATAGGAATAGAAAGTTCGTTGCTTCATGCCGGCCGACGATCGTATTGTTTTGCAACTTTTTCATAAAATTATGAACAGTAGAAGTCGTCTTCAAAGGAAGATCGAGACCCGCTTATCAGCTCATCGTGCAAGTTATGTAATAAATATAGTACATTTGAAGTTTAAATTGTGTCATCATGCAGCGCTTATTGATAGTGATTTTTGATCTGAGTAAGAGATAATTTTTAATTCGTTTTGACATTTTACGTACAGAGCAACTGATAGAATAATGGCACCCAAAGATAACATTGAAAGTTTCACGAATAACTTTTGCTGCTTGACTGAGGTATGGAGCATCTTACAGCTTTACGATATTTATTCACATCACCGAGAAAAAATATATCTGGAACAAATGAAGATATAGCTTCAAAATTGTAAGCATGTAATATAAACAGCTACATATTCTTTGTATCGAAGTGTTAAAAGATCATACCAAGAGGTTGGTTTAGATAGGTAGACGAAGTTTTTGCTGTTTTTGATACACCTTTAAGATCTTTAGAAGACTGAGCAGTCCATTTGTAAAATTTACATACGAAATTGCGAAGATCCGTCAGTTACCATTCTTATATATTTTGATCCAAAGGAACAACGAAAACAACTTGCTTTTTAAATTTTATAGAAAAGAAACGAACACAATGCGTTATAGGACCAACGATTCGATGCACTGTAACCAGCACAATACGGCTAGTTTCAACTGTTTAGTTCATAGACTAGACAATTTTTCGTTAATCAAAGAAAGTTTCAAGGAAGAAAAGAAGACGATCAAGCAAATGACGAGTGTTAATGGTTACAATCCCGACATTTTGGAAAATTAATTAGCAACGCTTCGGGATTCCTCAATCTTTCAAGTTGAGAAAGACAGACCAAAAGGCATAGCAATACCTTCCAGCCCCAGTTGCATAAAATGTAGTAAAAAGGATTTCAGGTTCATGTCCGTATATCAGTCCAGTCCTAAACTTAATGACTTACTGGGAAACCCCAGGGACAAGATTGATATAGGCACACTTGAAAGAAGTAAAATCTATAAAATCAGCTGTAGTGATGTCTTATAATAACCATAGGAGACCTGTCAAGACTAGGCTCGAGGAAAACTTGGCCGATTCAAAACATGGTAGAATAGACAAATTTATATGCAGAACAACATCTTCAATAGGGAACATAAGATACACCTGACTGATTTAAAGTTAGTTTATAATGTTAGGAACCTGAAGAAACTGGATGCGCATGGACGCTTAGAAATAACTTGGGGGATAGAGAGTGTAATGATTCAGGCCAGATGTACAATTCCTACCATTCTCTATGTTCGGATAGGTAGAGACATCATGAATCTGATTGGTCATGTGGTTACAGTTCGATGCACATGAGAAGTATATATATATATATATATATATATATTAGGTAGTATTCAGGTTAGAGTCCTGCTGGACGTGGAACGAGCCTTCGATCGAGTTTGGCACGATGGACTCATCGCCAAAATGGAAGCCGCCGGAATCGATGCGAACATGTGCCAACTGATCCAGAGCTATCTAACACAAAGATGGTTCACGGTGAAGATTGATACATGCCATTCAACAAGACGACAGCTGGAAGCAGGCGTGCCCCAGGGGTCAGCCTTAGCCCCCTGCTCTACAACATCTATACTCACGATGTGCCGAAGACAGCTGACACAATACTGGCCCTATATGCAGACGACACTGCTATATCCGCCAAGCACAGACGACCCGAGATCATCCGTAGGAGACTACAGGATGAACTGGACTACATCCAGGACTGGTGCGTGAAATGGAAAATCCGCATCAACGTCCAGAAGACGCAGGCAATCTTCATTCAACGAAGAAGGATTGCAAGACCTCTCGAAGCATCCATCTTCGACGAAGATATCCAGTGGAGCGACAAAGTCAAATATCTGGGGATCGTATTTGACAAGT